TTCTGTGTTGTTTGCCATTCCTGACACAAACCTGCAGCTGTCACGGGATTCGGTGGGTACCCAACCGGGACGCAGGGTAATCAGTCGTACGGCGGCCAGCAGCCATATCGCCCCCAACAGCAATACCAGTCCTACGGTGCCCAGCAACAGTATCGCCCTCAGCAACAATACCAGTCCTACGGCAGCCAGCAGCAATATCAGCCCCACAGCGCCCCGCAGCCCTCCCGACCGCAGCAGCGGTCTCTTCCCCTGCATCAGCAGCAGCTACACGAAGGCAACGGCGTGGATTATAAGAACTGGGATGACGAGCGGGATCATGGTTCCAAGAGTGCGAATGACCCGTTTCCGAACTATGCGCCGAATGGATATAATGGACTGTTTGGGTATGACCCGAGGAAGGAGTATAACGAGCAGAACTTGAGTAGCCAGAGTGGCTCGTCTGGCTCTGGCTCTTCAGGATCCTCAGAAATAGAGACAGTGAGGAATAGCACTGGTACATGTACTGTACTTAGCCCCGCCTGCAACGTCCCGCATTCCAACTCTCGACTCGGGCGTTCCTGTAGCATCCCCAGACAGTAATCCTTATAAATGGAAGAGCTATCTACTAGCAGTGCCTAAGCGCCGTCAAGGTGGAACGAGGCTGGCGATATTGGTGCTGTCCGCAAGCTGCTCATTTCACATATGCCGGTCGGGATGTGCTATTGGTGCAGTGCTTCAGACTTACGGCTAAGAACTAATCAGGCTCTAAGTCCAAATAGGGAACAGTCCACCTTGCAACTCTGTACCGAGTAACTCAAATATTCCTCCCCTTTCCTGAAGTTTGGTACGGTTGACGAGCCAATCCCGGAGGTGCGTGCTGAATTGGGAGGTATGACCCTTCGCGGTCGGATGCTGCCCATATAATGCTGGAAGAGACAGGGATGGACGCCGATCGACATGGACAAAACTGCTTTCCAGGTCGCTTTATTGCAGCTGTGAGTTGTGGGATACGAGGAAGGGTGGAAAGAGGAGGGACGTACTAGTAGTACCTTATGTGTCGAGTCTCGGTTATTTGCGCGATCCATACCACCCATCAGTTATTATGGGCGATTTAGGAACAGATGAATGCAGTTCAGTTTTCAATCATCCTAGGATCTTTTGTAGCTTGACGATATAGTATAGACAAGAAAATACGACAAGAGTGATGCAGCGTAGCGGCATGTGTTGTACGCTGGAATGGTCTCATAAGCCAACAATCGGAGAGAAACCCGCATCTTTTTCGCCGACGACATTTGAGTTCATCCACGTTGGCGTGTCCTTGCTTCAAAAGGCTTGAAGACAATAGCATAAACGCCATGAAAGGGCCGAATAAGAGACGTCAAGGGTCAGCGTTGTCGTTGTTTTGTCTCTGAGATCGGAGTTTTACCCCCTCGGCTCCGAGACATTTTTGTCGAAACCTTCCGAAGTACGCAATAAACAACAACAGTATTATAGAATTCCTTTTCTCATTAATAGAAGTTGGAGCTAATAAAAATGCAAACCATTTCTATTTTAACAGATGACATTTGAATGCGAACTGAGCGAAAAAAAAATATCGCGGGGGTTGGGGGGTGGCAATAGTTTTATCTCGTTTCCGAGCCACAGCTGGAATCCAACAAGGGACCCCAACGTCTATATGTTTGGGTTCACGATACAGTAACCCCAGGGACCTCAGATAACCCCTGCACCATGTCACTGGCGGCGAGGGAGAGCCCTGTTCTTACATGTTGACTAGCTACAGGGAGTTTGCCTCCGCCTTTATATTTATGCGCAATTCCTCACCATCCATCATCATCAACGCTTTGGTCTCATTCAGCTCTTGATCGACACAGCGCGGTTTTCCAACTACCATTTCTTGTAAGAAAGGGGGGCGACGCTACCACACGCGGGAAGACAGGGATGCATGTCAAAATTAGAATTCAGCTCACGGTAGTTGAAAAGTACCCAGGTTGTCAATCGGCACGATTCGCTAGACGTGTTACTGTTCGATCCAATTACGAATTACGGGTTTCTCGCCACAGAGTATTCAGATAGAAGGGATTAAGAGACGGGAGTGAAGAGGTGGGCACGGTTGTGTACAATTCCCGAGTTAGTGCCGAACACTTCTGGGAATCGGCCTCAGTCAAAACAATTCTTGATCTTGACCTTTACTGTCATCGGCACAGAAAATAGTTGTATGTAATGGCATTGATATTGATTCAAGCATATCTGCTATTTGTTGCTCCGGAGAGCAGAGAACAAAGAGGAAACTGGGAACTACATAGAGCAACCTTACGGAACCACGTCGCAACTGAATGCTACATACATGAACATCCTATTATCCTTATTCCGCCGTCGGCGCCTCCGGGGGTACAACTATATCCGGGTTCGAAGGTATGGGGCCTTCTTCAGAGGTCGACGCGGCGGGTAACACTTCATCTGCAGGTTCTGTTGTAGGCGGCAGCGGGTCTGTGGACCCCAGTGGGGTCACGACAGATGATGAGGGGATGGTGGGAGTGGGTGTTACAGCTTTGGCCGGTGGCAGGTCGACAGTTTCCACCGGGGAAGGGGGAGGGGAATCCACCTTCGCCGGTACGATAGGAAGCTCTTCAGGTGATTTCGCAGGTGTTTGACTCGGTGCAGGTGTAGTTGTAGGCATGGGTAGCGGGGACTTGATCGGCGCAACTGGCACAGCGGCGGGCAAAGCTTCGCTGTCTTCTGCCCTCCGCCGGCGATCGGCTTCCATACAGTCTCCCAGCGTCCCCTTCTCGCGGGTAACATACTTCGCCTGCATTTCCTCAATTAAGAGGAGCAGCCGCTCCTTGTACAGTGCCCGGTCTTCCTCGAGCCATTCGACTAGTCCGGGCCTGAACCCTTTCTTCGCACGCAGAATGCGGGCCATTAACCCTAGCACCTCGTCATCCTTGACTTTGTCGGAACGAAGTTCCTCAGCCAGTTGAACGACTTGTCGAAGCACGACCGAGCTAGTGCGATCCTGGTCCGTTTGTATAGGATCCGCTGCGGGTGGAGGTGCGGATTGACTGCAGGAGGTTACAGAAGACGTACGTGTGGGTGGCAAGGAGACCGAAGGCGAACGCATTTTGTCGACGATGGTCCACTCGCACTTCTGGCCCTTGTCTCGGCAGGCGTGGCAGATACCGCGTTCATAGAAGCAGTCTTCCAGTTGACCCGATATACATCCATTGCAGCGGGCAGCACCGGTCTGGGAAAATATCAGCTATGTGGTTAATGTGAAAGGTCATCAAAGGACACTTACATATGGAATCTGTCTCCCTTCTTTGTCGCGCTCCCCGCTCTGCATGTTGCGATCCCCTCTCGGCATGTTGTTGCTGCGTACGGTGCTCCCAGATGAAGGCGTACGTACACGAAGCTGAGTAGGCTGAGGAGGCAGCGCTTCATCGAGTCGGAGCATTGTGTTCCTATCAGCCACGGGGTTGATAGGTGGGCGAGATTCACGCCTCTCCTTGGGCTCCTCATCGTTCGGGTACGCAAGGTCCATATCCACTTCTCCAAACGCTTGTCGAGGCCTGAAAGGTTCAGGCCAAGGTGCTGCGCGATCGCGCAGCTCCTGCTCCCGCGTTTGGGTACCAGGGGGCCGGTGAAGATGAGGAAAACCGGGCATGAATGGAAGAGTTATGATGCCATGACAATGTTCGGAGAAGCTCCAGCCGCATTGCACCTTCTTCTTGGCGCATAGAATACATGCTTTCTTGTGAGGGCCGACAACGCATTCTGGCACACGTCTACGCTGGCACAGATCGCAACGGTCGATGCCGGTCTGTAGTCTGTTAAATACCATATGAAAAGGACAAGATCTAGAGACATACCTTGATGACCCACTCTCCAGGCTTCCTCCTCCGTCTCTTGATCGGCGGCGAAGAGTCGCGCTCACCCTGCTTAGATATGGACGCTGAGTTCTCTTCCCATCTTGCGTCTTCCTCACTGCTTTCCATGTCTCTCGGACTGGCCGTGTCGCCGCTGTAACTGCTCTCGTCGCCTAAGCTGGGTTTCCTCATTTCATGGGTGCAAACCTCCTGAGATAGGGAATTAAGGCTCGCGTGCCTGATGTGGTGGCCTAGTGAACTGGGGTGATAAGGAGGACCAGCAGAAAGTGTACGCCACATGTGGTTGGGTCCATGGTGTACTGGAGCGGGGGATGAGCCGAACCCTGTGGGTATCCTGAATGACATGGGATGTTCCTCTTCGGGCTGGGCGATGACAGACGGCGGACCACTCAACTCGACGACGTCAGGCTCTGTGTCCATCTCGCCATCAGAAGCAGGCATCTCAGAGAGCTCTGCAAAACGAAGTCAGCTCGTGACGTTGGCATATATGCAGGACGACGGACCCTCTGCCCACTCGCTCTCCCACGCTCTGTGCTTCCTGCTCATGTTCTCCAACTCGCTCTGCAGGATACGCCTATATGCGTCGTTCGACGGCAACCTTTCAATCTGCTCCTGGATCTTCTTCTTAACCCTGTTATCCTTCGCCCACTGCCGTTTGCTCGCCAAGTTGCGTTCTTTCTTCTCTTCGAGCGACTTGGGCCTGATCGCCTCCAAATCGTCATCGCCTGCATTGTGGTTAGCAAACCATCATTCCTGTGAGGAGAGAACACACCTGTATCCCATCGGCTTCTCTTCCGTAACAACGTAGGTAGATTATGCTTCTCCTGCGCATGACGGCGCCACACACTCCGCGCATTGGCCCCGGTGTACGTCTTGTCGCACCACGGACAGTCGTACTTGATCGTTCCCTTGGGAAAGTCGAACGTTAGGGGATTCGGCCCAGTCGGGCCAGGCACATGATAGGGGATGAACCACGTGTTTGAGCTCGTCTGAGGGAGTGGTGGCTGAGGGCCGGAAGGAGAGAGGAGCACGCTCGGCTGGGCCGGGCGAGGTGACTGCCCAGTAGCAGCAAGGGCTTCGCGTGCAGTGATGGGCATACCAGCTGAACGAGGCTTTGCAGAATCTAATTTGAGCGCGTAGGGCGAAGACGAGTAGGGGTGTGCGGTGGTTAGCCGCGTGGGCCCTTCGGGCTCGACGGGGCGCGCGACGGAAGGGATCGTGGGTTGCTTAGGGGAATGATGGATCGTGGAGGGTCTTGGGGGAGTCGGAGAGAGTTGGAAGCTGCTCTGGCCAGGGGGTGGTGGGCCGTACGAGCGCGGGAGTGTTGGCTCGTGCAGCTGGGAAAGACGTGCGTCAGGTTCGCGCTTGATCATGGCCGGTGTCTTGTAGGCTGACATATGCGGCGAGGACTGGTGTGGATGGGAGGCGGATAGCTGAAGAGGGGTGGGAATGCGAGGTTGGGGAGGCATGGGTTGGGTCATGGGGAGGGATGAGCCGTTCTTGGGAGCAGGGCGTGGCGACGACGAGGAGGGCTGAGAGGAGGTAAGTGGAGGGGAGATCATCGATAGTGTACGCGACGGTGTTGACGACTTGTCCTGTGCATAGTGTAAGCATATACAATAATGGCCGAAAACTGGATTACGGACTTTGCCTGGTAACTTCTCCGCGAGCTTTCGCCGTAGAAATGCTATTCAAATGTCAGTGGGGCAGGTGACAGAAAGGTGCAGGGAGAACGCACGAGAGTTTCGTATGATTGACAGATCTCTATCGGAGAACTCTTTCTGCGTGTCTAGCAGTAGCTCGAGCTCCTCCCGCTCGTCCATTAGCCGTCTCATTCGCATTCGCTCCGCTTCCCCCTGGGCGAGCTCGTCACAGACGCGAATGTATGCCTTGAGAGAATGCACGGGATCGAAGACGGTCCCTCTATACGCATGGATGGCCTTCACGGTGAGATTGTCCAGTGTACGTTGTTCATCGTTTGGGAGGTATTCTTCGGCCGGGATGAGTGGGTCGATCCGTCGTCGAGAAACAACCCTGGACCGGTCGACAGGCGAGGAGGCTCGTCGCTTGAGAGAACCGTACGGCCCATACGGGTACTGCGAACCGGTTTTGGGCGGGTGAGAGAGAACGTCTGTCATTGGTGTGGATTGCGATGATTGAAGGTGGTGATAGTGTTATAGTCTCGGCGTGACTGGATTACCGAGAAATCAAAGGTGGAGTTGCCAAGCAAGTTCGGCCTTGCAGAATCTTGAAAATAGTGAAGATTGCGATAATAGGATCCTGGGATAGAAGTTGGAGGAAGAGGAGGGTAAGATGGATGAGGAGAGAGGAGGACTAGGGGAGAGGGCAGGAGGGTTGAGTTGAGGGGCAAGCCCGGTTGACGTTGAAAAGCCGAGGTTCATATGCGAAAGGGACCTTGGATTGTTGGTTCGTGACGCAACATACTTCCAATTCAGTCTTATTTTATTTCTATTTCAGCTAACCCCTCGTTCTATTCTATGTTCTCCCTTCATCGCTTTTCATTTTTAATCTATTTCTTATCCCCTTCACGCGTCCAGCCTCCATGCAAGATGCGATGCCCCCTTCCCACGTTCCTCTCAGACCACGAGAACCCATGTTCCGAACTCAGACCATTCACCGTTGTGCCGACAGACAAGCCTCCTTCCGAGCCTCTCAGCCTGTCTCGCCCAGTTTAGTTGTCAAAAAAATCCATCAAACGTACCCTGCACTTTTCGGTGTCCATGTCTCGGCTAGCAGACCTGCGTCAACAACTTCCGAATCGCATTTCCGACTATTCCACGTATGGAGCGTCCTCTCGCTATAGTTCGGAAATTCATTATTTTTTGTCAAACAAGAAGTTGCCCCCTGCACGGGACATCGAACCATGAACCGACCATTTATCTATTGACAACAAAAGAGCTTATTCACCCCGGCGGCCTTCAACTAGGTGTTGTGTCAACCCGGCATTCAACTATTGGACCGAAAAGAATTCCGTGCCTTGACGCTGTACATGTTCTTTTTTCCAACTATTATGCTTATGCACCAAGCCGGGTTTCAACTAGGTGTTGAATTATCCGGGATGTATAACAGGACGGCCTGTGTATGTACAGTCCTTTGTAAACTGGCGAGTATGCTTAACGAGCATGCCGAATAACTCTATGGACAGCGCTTCCGATCGCACGACCCAAATGACCGTCTCATCTTTCAATTATTTAATGCATAGAATCCGCGTATTGGCACACGACCCCTTTGTATACCGTTTTGTATGTGTCCTTTTGCAAGCAGTACATGATCGGGCACCACCCTATCACCGAGCGGGGTGACTACTGGCGAACCCCACAGCAGACAGGGTTCTCCCGATCCCCCAATTTAGTACTTTCAAGTTTTGAGTCAGCCTCGCCGAGGTTGGTTGATGTTCCGTGCAGGAAAGAAAAGGGTTAGACCACCCGCAAAACCTCAGGCTGATCGGTTAATAGGCTGTGCCGCGGAATCAGCTGCGTCTGCGGAAAGGCGGAACGAGGCACTTCTCCCGATCGGAAGACACTCAACATATATGGTCTGCCCCATAGTAACATATACGACTGTGTACCAAAGTGTACTATTAATGTTTTCTTCCCTCTCCCAAATTTTCGATATTCAACAGGAACCGTTTCCAAGTCGAACGTCTCATGGATACTAGTTGTAATCTGCTCCGCAAACGTACTCGTAAGCCGCCGAGCAAACGGTAATGCTCCCCGAGACACCGGCCTGGATACACCGCCAACGCGTACCTGGCCCTGCTCACAAATACTAATAAATTAGTAGTATGAATGCCAATATCTTAACTGAATTGGGATATTTATGTTGTCGCTTGACCTCAATCCAAATAGTCCTTGCTATGCCCTGAACATTTCCTGCTGGTTTCCACGTTCCCCTTCCTGGCTCAACGGGCCGGAGACGAATAGCAAAACAATATTCAAATTGGAGGCGAAGTTAGTTTACCGGTACTCAATAACGGAGTATGCACTGCCCGTACACAGCCGACCATAAATTCACGAGTAATGAACAGGAAGGCAAACTTGAGCTTAGTACTACTCCCTCAGTAAGCAGAGCATACATTCGAGCTCCTGGCTGGTTTCAGCAAACCCCTCAGAACCCCGGAGTGTGTTGGTAGCTCGGTCGAAGAACAACTTGGCCGATCCGGACTAATCCTTGTCCTCCGTCAGCTTGAACATAGTTTGCGGAAACCGGTGGTCTCCTATTCACTCAGCGGACAACGATCGAATATTGGGTTTCTACGGTTTCCGGCAATACGTCTCTCTCGCAGTGCTTAGCCCCTTTGGCTCAAGGCAGCCGCGTGCAGATAGAAGGTGATAGGATATGGTTCCAAGTCAGTAAGCTGGCCCGCAAGGGAACTTAGCATAAGAGATGATAGTGATAAGATATGGTGCGGACTCAGGAAGCTGGCCCGCAAGGAAAAGCATAAGAGGTGATAGTGATAGCCGGATGGTTCGGAGTCAGTTGGGTGGGCGTCATGTGGAAGTGCTACTTTGCCAGTGTCTGAAAGTATACCCGAGTCCAAATGGGATGTATCATTAGAAAGTGCTAAATTGAGAAGACGTCCCAGTACTTCTCCCTTGCTGTACCTGACGACAGACTATCCCCGGTCCTCAAAGGCCAAGTACAGCCCCGAGGCACGCAAGCACACATAAACAAATCCTATTGTCTGCTGTACACAAGTTTTGGTCACACTACAAGAAAAGAATGCCCGTTTTTTCCCGTTTCGTCTAGGTTTCGCACCCCGATGTTTTAGGTTAATGAATGGGAAAAGGAAGGGAAGGGGACCGAATGCCGGGAACGGATGTGGAAGTGTACAGGTGTCTCCTCAGGCCGATACGGCGATGCGATTGATTGATCACTTCGGAGTACTTGAAACCTAGAGCTTAGGCTTGACGAATTGTGATTCTGTGACACCTTCGCCCATTGCCGCGGTACTGGAGAATCCGCCACTGACCATACGAAGGATTTCGTCGATGAATTCTGCACCGCTCCATTTCTAGGAGAAGGGTTAGCATGTGGTCAGGAACGTAGGAAGATGAGGTGAGGAGTAACCCAGGAAACGCGAGGAGAGGCCAAGAGAAAACATTGAGTGAAAAGAAAAAAGAGTGAAGAGAAAACGTAGAGTGAAGGAGTAACCTAGGAAACGCGAGGAGAGGCCAAGAGAAAACATAGAGTGAGGAGAAACATAGCACGAGGGTTGGGAAGCAAGAATAATACGAACCTGGTGGGTCAGGACCTCGACACCCGCCTCGCCCTCCGGTTCCTGGACAAGCTCCACATACGCCTTCATGCCCTCCTTTGCGAACGCCTTTGCGAACACGTCCGTAGAGAGTGCAGTCAAGTGCAGGCCGGCGAGGGTGATGAACTGCCATACGAAGCCGAGCTTGGCCAGACGCCAGATGAAAGTGCGTTCTTCTTCTGTCGACATGCCTGCGGCTGCAAGGAAGGTGTCAGGTTAGCAGGAGTTGGAGAAGAGGCAAGTCAGACCCACCTTTCCAGTTAAACGACGGGCTGAGGTTGTACGCCAGCCACTGGCCCGGATGCACCTTATGCACACCCTCAGCAAACTCCTTCGCCTGCTCATAGATCGGTTTCTTGCTCTCCATCCACAGGAGGTCGCAGTACGGCGCATACGCGACAGCGCGGTTGACGGCACAGCGCGTGCTGCCTTCGTACCTGTAGTACCCCTCCCTCGTGCGAGGGGCGTCCCAGTCCCAGAAGGGCGCAGGGAGGGGAGCGAGCAGCTGGGCAGCATGCTTTCTCGCCTTGGAGTTACTAGCATGAGGAGTCTGGGTGTACTCGTTAATCTTTGCCTGTGCGCGAGCACCAGTCTGCTTCAGAGCAGCGAGGACAGCAGCGTCGTAAGTGCACAATCCTGCCTTCTGGACCCAGTCTTGTTCCACTGCTTCCAGGGCTCCGCCCTGCTGCGCCGCGGCGCGCATGACGTCGACGAGCGGGTCAAGAGAGGCGTTCGTCGTCCCGATCACGAAACCATGGTCGCGAGGATCAATCGTCGTGGTAATCAGCGTCGCGGCTTCAGAATCGGTACGAGCGACGAGGAGCGTCGAGGTGCCCATGATGTCGCATTGTGCGCGCATAGCCACGAGCCTAGAGATGTGCTCCGAGATAGGGACGAGCACTTTGCCAGCCATGTGACCGCACTACATGTACGCTGTGTTAGCAGAAGACACTGATAGGCGTGAATAGCATACCTTCTTCGTTCCAGGCGCCTGGTCCTCCACGTGAATCCCAGCAGCGCCGCGCTCGATGAACATCTTGGTGAGCTTCATAACGGCTGTCAAGCCTCCATGTCCAGTATCAGCATCCGCGATGATCGGGCGCATAAAGTCGATCGGTTCTCCAAGCGGAGCGCGCTTCTCCACCGGAAGGGCAAGTCGTTCCTCCGCCTGCTTACGATCATGGAATATCTGGGCGAAGAACAGTTCCTCCACTTTGTTAGGCACCGTGTCCATCGGGTAGTCTGCGAGGTCGGGAGAGGGCTCGTTAGACGTCGATGCGGTGGAAGAGCACTGCCAGCCAGAGACGTAGACCGTGTCAAGGTACTTTGCCATCTGGGTAAGCTGGACCGTGTTCAGCGCGCCGAAGGTGATACTGGGAGTCTGGTTCTATGTATCCAATTAGCACACAGACTCCTGCTGTATCATTGGAGAGAGACGAACCTTTGCATGCTCAGAGAGGACACCCCAGAGTTTCTTCGCCATCTGGTCGCTGGTATAAGACTGCCTGACCGTCCCACGCTTGCGAACAATATCCTCAGCAGTGTACATCCTCGTCGTGCGAGCAAAGCGGGGTGTCGCCCACCACTGCTTGACATTGGCGACTTCTGCCTGGAAGGCGGCTTCTTCTGCTTGGAGTGAGCGGGACATGCTGCTGCTGATAGACTGCTACGAGGAAGGGGACAAGCAGGGGAATGTGGGGAAGAGGAGTGGGTCAAGGCTTGGCTCGTCCTTGAGAGGGGTATATGAGCTTCCCACCCTAACGAGTTCGGCCGAGACCGGAGGACAACCGACTGATGTTCTCCGAGAGAGATGGGTCTGCCATGACTTGGAATGCCGAACGGCCGAATCCTGTCACTCTCTTGCGTGACTGCCTTACACCCATGTCTGGCAGCGATGAACGAAAGAAGGGGAGTTCACTGAGCGTTCATCGCGCAGACCCTAACCCAGACCATCCATTTCCCCGTTGCTAATCACATGCCTGGCAAGGGTTTCACATGACCCCGAGGCGGAAAACAACGGGTGACCTCACCTGCCTTCCTCCCCAGGCTCTCGATCACGCTAACCCGCGCGATCGACCCCCCCTTCTCACTCCTTTGTCCGCCCCCTCTCACCGGCCTGTCAACTCTCCTGTCAACCTGTGCTGATCTGGTGACTTTTGGGCATGTCCGAGATTGGACAGATCACTTGGCACCGGACGTGACATGATGTTGACGTCTTATCGGCACCACCGGGTATTCTCTGCCTCTCTCTGCCAGGTCTGGCTGGGATCTTGCTCGCTCAGTCTCATTCCTGCTGATCGTATCACTCATTCAATAGCAGAGGATGCGGAGGGCTATTATCGTCCATAGGCGCTCCGATATCCCCCGCTGACAATGGGGGAAAGAGCGCGGTCCAGCCTCTCTCTAGTGGTCTAATCTCGTCTCTTGGCGCCAAACAGGTGAATGGTACCCGACTCTCCCCGTATGCCGTCTCCCAGCCGCGCGTAGGCTTCGTGACACATGTGAAATGCCCCAGGTTCCGGGACCCTTATGCTGTTCCCTTACTCCCGATAGAGAGAGTTGAAGACACACACCGAAGGCTTCATCATCTTTGCTTCTCTCTGTCTAGGATGTCTGCGGGGGGTAAGAGCGTGTGGGGGTGTGACGTGACGGGTCTGGTGGATATGCGCCAATGAATGTAAAAGAGCGGGGCATCCCGGCACTCTCCACTTTGTTGTTCATTTACCGGTTTCACGCGCTCCTCTTCAGTGCAGTCCCAATCTATCGAGTCACTTCCCTCACTTTCGTCTGTTCTGCGCTCCCGACGTGTCCGACGTTACTGATTTCCCAAACGCCCCCCGACTCCGACGTCGCGAAGTTCTCTGTCTGTCCCTGTCAACTTTCCGGCTACGATCTCTCCCTTCAACTTTTGATCCTGTGGTCTTTGCATTAATACCCCGCTGCATCCCCGCACATCCCGTTCTGCCCCGCGTTTGTTTGCCTCTCTCCTCCTCTTCCTCTCTCTCTCTCCTTTCACTCTGTTCTTCTCTCGCTCTCTCCATTTCTTGTGCTTGCTCTCGCGTCCTCTGCCTCTCTAGTAGTGTCAAACAGCTCTCTGTCCGTCTTCGCTCTCTTGATTCTTCACACCGCCCGCTACACGAGTGACATCCCACCAAATACACGCACACGATGGGCAAAGAAAAAAAATCCACAGCGACATTCGGTACTCACCTTCTCGGTACGCCTGCCCCTCCCTCCGCTTCTCCAGGTACTAACCTTCACTCTCCCAGCGGGCGGAACAGCAGGGATGATGGAAGCCCTCACCTGTCATCCGCTGGATACGATCAAAGTCCGCATGCAGCTATCGCGGCGAGCGCGCAAGCCCGGTGTGCGTCCCTTTCCCCCTCACCCTCGCTCTCCCATACTCATGCTCGTGCTCATAATACGCAGGAACGACCCCGCTCCTTCTTCCGCGTCGGCAGGGACATCGTCGCCCGCGAAACGCCGTTGGGGTTATACAAAGGCCTGGGCGCAGTGCTCGTCGGTATCGTCCCAAAGATGGCAATCCGGTTCTCCTCTTTCGAGCAATACAAAGCGCTCATGGCACGGCGGTTTTCCTCTCCCTCAAACCCGGACATGCCTAGTCCAACAGGCGTATTCCTCTCCGGTCTCATGGCCGGTGCGACGGAAGCAGTCCTCGTAGTCACCCCGATGGAAGTGGTCAAGATCCGCCTGCAGGCGCAGGTACACAGCCTTTCCGACCCGTTGGAGATCCCGAAGTATAGGAACGCAGCCCATTGCGCATATACGATCGTGCGCGAAGAAGGGCCAGGCGCGCTATACAGAGGTGTAGTGCTCACCGCTGCGCGGCAGGCGAGCAACCAAGCTGGTACGTCTTCTCCCTCTCCTGCCGAAACAAGCTCACAAAACATCCGATAAAAGCCTCATTCACGACCTACACCTACCTGAAGCAGCTCATCTCCAGCCTGCAACCCGACAAGCCCACGCTCCCCTCCTACCAGCACATGCTTATCGGCCTCGTATCCGGTGCCATGGGCCCCCTGTCAAACGCGCCGATCGACACGATCAAAACCCGCTTACAACGCGGTGACCCATCACTCGGCGCACCCGGGGCAATGGCGGCTGGAACAGGCGCGCAAAAGGCCGGGTGGAGGAAGGGAGTCGAGATTGCCGTGGAACTGTTCAAGAAAGAAGGGATGAGCGCCTTCTATAAAGGTATCACACCGAGGATAATGCGTGTCGCCCCTGGGCAGGCAGTCACTTTGTAAGTCCCTCCTTTCCTTTTAGATGGACGAGCTGCGGCAGACGCTGATATTGGGATAACAGTGCGGTGTATGAACGCGTGAAGAAATGGCTCGAAGCCTTGCCGGCATATTCGGGCGCGGCGGCAGAGTTTGAGGAGTAAGCAGAACAGCGCCGTACGACCCGTGCTTGTACGGAACGGAACGAACAACCCAGAACAGATAGATGGGGATAGGGCATGTCACACAGCCTATTACTACAGTATTACATCACATCCTTTCTGGACAAGTTCAAGTTTGGATTTGCAATCCGGGTTTGGTGGTTGAGGCTTGCCGGGAAGAGTGTGATATGATGTACCTGGAGGCCGAGGAGCTGGACGGCTTGTGCTCTTCTGCGTGCTCTGCTGCAACTAAATATAGGCGCTTGTGCCAGCATACACAGGCTTGGCTTACAGGTCGATATCTTGGCTCGAAAAACGAGTACTACATGTAGACGAGAGGCATGCATCCCAATCGGTAGGAAGCGTACACCGAGGAGAATCAGTGACACCCTTCTCTGGAGACCCAAACGGGCTCTTGGCGTTTTGGACCTTTGGTCGGGACTGGACGTCTTGCAGTTTGGCTTTCTACCCGGAAAAAGAAGCAGGGATGTACGAAGAGGCATACGTATTTCCTAGATTGGTAACAGGTCGCCGCCGCGGTTGAGGCAAGGGGAAGAAGAGTGTAGGCTCCGTAGCCCAGTACAGGGCGGTGGACATCCTTGGTTTGCAGACCCGAGTCTTGGCGTCTTGCGGCTTGTATCTTGGTTCCTACCAAAGAGAGAGCAATTACAGTATCCATACGAACGAGTATTCGCATCATTTCATTTGGTCGGAAGACCAGACCGAGGTGCAGAACAAGGGAAACACGTCTCGGACCTTCCGCGACCAAATTGAGCACATAGGCACTCTTGGCTTAGAGACCAAGTCTTGCATCGTGGTTGGGACCCGAAAAGAATAGATATCCAGTGAACGAGTATTCGTACCGCGGCATTTCGTGGCAAGACCAGGTCGAGTTGTCTAAGAGGGGGAAGGACGTCTCCACCCTTCCACAACCGAACACAGTATACGTAGACACTCTTGGCGTACAGACCCACGTCTTGGCGCCTTGCATCTTGGTCGCTACCCAAAGTATTCGTAGCACTTCGTTTGGTGGCAAGACTAGGCCGAGGTGTAGAAGAGGGGAAAGCGGTCTCTGCCCTTCCACAACCGAACATTGTGTACGTATACGCTCTTGGCTCATAGATCAAGCCTTGGCGTTTTGTATCTTGGTTCCTACCCAAAGAAACAGATATCGAAGGAACGAGTACTCGCAGCACTTCAACTGGTTGCGAGACTAGCCGAGGTGTAGAAGAGATGTACGTGAGTGCCTTGCCCTTTGGTTTCTAAGTGAAATGCGGAATTCAGCTCTTGGCGTCTCCCATCTTGCTTCCTCCCTTAAAAAAAGGAGTAGACAATCGACGGAAAAGGATGCGTATCACTTCAGTTCGTAGAAGCTTGAGGAGTACACCAAGGAGTAGAAGAGGCAGGAGGTGGTCTTTCGTTCTTTTGCATCGCAGGCTCCAAGTCTTGGTATCTTGTCCTTTGCTTGCTGATAGGAATCTGCGAAGAACTTGTGAGCCGGACAAGGAACGAATGAAGGACGAACAGAGATGGACATCGTCAACAAACGACAGCTGATAGTGTGAGTTTGTACGCGTCCAGTGTTGTCTCTGTGTTGTCTTGGTATTCTGATCTGGAGAGGATCGAACGGTACTTCATATTTCGGCTTATCATCCCTCAAGGGAAGGCGAGAAGGTTAGAAAAGTACTAGGGATACGTCGTTGTCCAGATCGGGCGTGATAGGGTCATAGGCGGTCATTATGACGTCTTAAGCGCCGCAACATCTGCTTGTGCATCAGGTCGTTGTAGGGAGATAAAGACAAATAGTGGAGGGCAGTCCATGATAGGAAGATACGATAGTCGTGTTCGTGCACCTTCGTCCTCATTTCCGTGGAAGAACCCAAAGTGGAGAGTCTTGGCGTCTTGGCAACTTCCCTTGGAGCACATGGTGAGGGATCGCCCTAGGTAAACCCGAGACAACAGCGCAGAACACAGAAGTATTCGAAAGGCTCGAACATGATGCAGAAAACTGGCCCTCTGTTCGAAATAACACCAGGTCTCCGACACGGCGACGGTATCAAAGAGCGGTGACCTCCTCTCGAGCCATCAGCGCGCCAAGCACCGTAAGAGGGTACTAAGAAGCGCCAATTCTGCCAGGCAATACGGAACGCCGTTCCTAGAAACCCGTTCTCGGTTGGGCAAGAAACGCACACGCCCTGTCGGGATCTTCCAACGTTTGGTCGACCGCTGGCACGCTATGTATACACGAGTGCGAGGAGGAGGCTAAGCAGGTGGCAAGGGGAGCGCGGGTGATGTCCCTAGCTGTCTAATCGGTGGGTGACGGCGAGTGCGACGTGCTGGGTTGGTTGAGAGGGAGGACTTGGGAGTGAGGTGACTTCTGTGTCTTGTACTACAACCACAAAGGTCAGTAGCCGTTGATCGTTCGTATCACAGCACACTCACACATGCGTACTACGGCCTCGTAATCCCTATACTTTGTCTTCTTCCGTATATAAGGATTGCTGTCTGGGGATGCTACAGAAACGCCCGAGTCGAGAGTTGGAATGTAGGAGGTTGCAGGCGGGGAGTATATACGCATCAAGGGAAGATAGTACGGTAACTGTTTCCCTGAGAATGACATGGCAAACGCTGTTCCCTATTACTCCATCTGCATAGTGAGAGGCATTAAGAAATCGTACAAAGCATTTAGACCGCAAAGTCGTGTGGAATGTGGTGAACATGCGAGGTAGAAAACCAATGGGCGGACGCAACCCCTAGATCCTAGTGAAATAGCAAGAACAGGTGGGTCCCTCGCCGCCAGTTCGATGGTGCAGTGGTTAAGGTCACTGGGGTTACTATATCGTGAACCCACATAGACGTTGGGGTCGCTCGTTCGATTCACATCTGTGGCTCCGAAACGAGATAAAACTATTGTCCCGGCGACTATTAATTTCTTTTGCTCAATTCACATGCAAACGTCATCTGTCAAAATAGAAATGGCTTTTATCTTTATTAGCTCCAACTGCTACTATTGAGAAAATGAAATCTATAATGCTGTTGTTGTTTATTGCGTACTTGGGATGGATTTGACAAAAATGTCTCGGAGCCGAGAGGTGAATCTCCGATCTCAAAGACAAGACAAGGGACAAATACTAATCTTTGACGTCTCTTATCCGTGCACTTTCATGAAAACCATATTTGAGCACGGATTCCAAAACCCGAAGTGGATTCGAAGGTTTTCTAAGAGGAGGAGGAACGTGTATGACAGACAATAGAATTTGTTTACAACGCTTCCCAACCGCTGATCCGCGATCTCGTGATATAGGTACAATAGTCTATGAGGAAGTCGTCCAATCTACCGCTTTCATATGATCTGCTACAGGGAGCCAGAAGCCCTGCTAATCGATAACATCGACCAAAGATTTTACCCTGACGAATCAACATCAACACGTCGAGTTGACTCACCTAATTCCACAAGTGTTCACTGCTTTTGGGAACTGGATGTGCACCCACGCCTCGGGTCACTCATCCTATGCTTGTCTGCTCCTACGCTAGCATTACGTATACAGTACATTATTCCCCTCCTCTCCTCTAAACTACATTTGTACACTTGTTGTACTTGTCTTGTCTGTTTAAATTTGACCGATCAAAGAAATAGGGAAAGCGTGCAAGGCGGGGAACGGGTGGTTGGGTAGGGGTGTAGGTAGGTACGTGGTTAGGGGAGGGTGGGAGTGTGGGAGTCTATGGAGTGTAGATGTAGGTGTAGGTGTAGTTGTGTCGATTGCGTATGATGTTATGCCGAAAACGAACTGTATCGTGCTCGAGCTCATGCTCGGGCTCGTGCTCGACTCGAGCTTGAAGTTCGATGCTGATGCTGATATTGTCCGTCTATCGTGAGGGATCCAAGGCGGATGCGGGTGTTGACACTAAGCCCTGGGCTGCAGGTCGCCGGTTGCCGGGAGTGGCCGCGCTCAGTTATAGTTACTCTCATGTCCCAAAAACTCCTTTACCGACTCGTAGACAAAGAAGCTCGTTGCAATACTCGGCGCGACCTTGACTGTCCCAGCGCGTCCCATCAGCAACTCTCACCTGCAACGTAGGCGCGCACTCACGTAAATTCGGCCACAAACCCCTATACAGCCCTACGACCCCCTCAGTACGGACGATACTGATGACCGCCCCCGTCGCGCTCTTGTACTTGACCCCGAGGACATTGTCTTTCATCCCGTTGACTTGCATCTTCCGGCGGAGGACGTCGAGCGGGTAAGTACATGTCTGGGAGATAGTGCCTGCCAGAGCGCCGCACAGGAGTTTGCGTAACGTCGTCTGTTTTTCCGGGGGGGTGATGACTGTTTCCACGTGAGCATACGCGGCCTATAGGAAGAAAGGAAGAGAAGGGACGCACTCCCCCGCAGAAGCTCGTATGCGGCAAAGTTGATCCCCACATAGGGCGCTACGCCCACCGCGGTCGGGACGAGTCCCTTATACAGCCCGCGGATCCCGCCTTCTTCCCGGTAGACCTTGGCCGTCATTCCCCATATTCCGGGGATCTTGTCTTTCGCATGCGAGTGCGAGTCCAGGGAGGCGGAGACGATGGAGAGCCGGGAACGGACGAGATCGAGGGGGTAGGTCGTCACTACGCTTGTTATACCCGCGAGGGCGCCTGCGCAGAGACGTGTAGGGGTGTCGAGTTTTGTCTGCCCGTTGTTGGTGAACCACTAGTCGATGTAAAGTTAGCAACGGGCTCGGTGGAGTATGACAAGGCGAGAACTCGCCGTCTTCAGTTGCTCGTAGCTCGTGAACTGGACAGCGCTGTAGGGCACGATACGAACGCAGTTTACGCCGTTACCGCGCATGAACCCCTTGAACCCCTCTTCCTGCCACATCTTTACAAGTCCGGACCACACGCCTGTATAAGCGAGCGCGCGACCAGACTGGTGTGGCTGGACTTGTCTACCGTACGCGTCAGGGGCATATACTTAGTGTAGGCGAGGAAAGACGTACTGGAGGATCTTTAGCCTCTCTAATGGTGAAACGACGGTCCTGCTCGCTGCACCCGCACATCCTCCAGCGATGAAGAAAGTGAGGATCTCCTGTCTGCGCTTTGTGTCCTGTTTGAGGGTGTGTAGGATAGGCGCTTTCTGTAGTTCTTGTGCTTTCTGGGTGAGTGCGGGTGCTGTGGTGGGTGGTGTGGTTGAGGTAGAGGGAGGGGAAGGGATGAGCCTTGGTTGTGCTTGTACGGATGCCATGGTGGGGGGAAATGAGGAAGGGAAAGGGGGTGGATGTATGCGCGGTTAGGTGTTGCCTGTTATGCAAAGTTGGAGGTATGTGTGAGATAAGGTGTAAAGTGTGAGCGCTGAATAGAGTGAAGTGCTGGCTGTTGTCTCTCCCCTTTGTACCAGATGGCAAAACACAACAATCGTGTCCTGTGTCCTGTGTGAATAAAGAGGGGCTGTGCAGTGATGTGAAAAATATGTCCCTTTCTTCTTCTTCTTCCTTCTTGGCCAATCACAGACCGATCAACCCTACGTCATCGCCCCATTCATCTCTCTTGGCACGCCTCCCCAGCGCAAAAGGTGCAACATCAGTTGGACGGACAATGCCATATTGTGATACAGTACAAATAAAACATAAAACATAAAGTATGTACAATCGCTCGTGTGCAGCAAGTGCCAGAATACTGATACAGGGTTTCACGATCCCATCCCGCTACGAGTTCCCTTCTTGCGGCATTCAGGTCGAGGGCCCACTTCTGTGCATCCATCCGAGGAATGGAAAGGGGTAGTTGGAAGCAGGATTCGACGCTCAGCTGGTCAGTGGCCTGCAGGCTGGGCACCAAAGGCCAGTCATTCTCATCAGAACCACGGTCCATGACGATATAGCGGATTCCTTTCGAAGTCTCGACCGAGATAATCGCTTCGAAACAGAACGGGTCATTGTCGTCCACGGCAACCAGTTTGGTCGGGGCGACCACGCCCCAACCATACCTGAGCCACCATCGATGTCCGTCTGGTACGGCCAAGAAATCGGAGATAAAAGCGTTAAGGTCCTCCTCGACGAACCACTCATCGGGGATTGCCATTTCGCTCATGTCAATATCGGATATCGCATCTTTTTCGAAATTTGGATCATGCTTCGTATCCCATTCCCGTCGCTACAAGAAATGCTGATCAGCCGAGTGAGTGTCACCAGGCAGTGATGCTCACCCAGTATTTCCAACATTCAGATTGGACGATAGGTCTCAAGGGGTCAACAGTCATCTTCGGATCGAATTCGCCAAACAGCGACACCTCGAACCAGAGAAGAGACTCGCTCCTCCCAATCAGAGCATGACCTTCCGAGGTGAAATGGATCGAATCCACATGCCGGAGTATGTCCAACTTGTCGCACTGTTCGATCACTGTGACGCTTGTCTTGATTGACGATGGGTCGGATGTAGTCACCATCTTGAGCTGAGAATTCTGGGTTGAGCGGAAGTGATGCTCCACATAAACCAGGCTGCCACTGGGACTAACGCCAATAGCTGATACGTAAGTGGATGTGTCCTCTTCATTCTCCAAATACTGGTGAGACCAATACGGGTGAATACCCACAGAATCTGGCAGAACAACGATGTGATGAAGGACGATACGGTCATTGTAGCGCAGAGCAAGCACTTGTCGTTCTTCGACCGAATGAAGTTGAGCCTCGAAGAATCTCTCCATCTGTTGAGAAAAATATGGCCGGGAGAGCTGTTCTCCCTCCTTGGGTTGAAACAGGTGGATCGTCCGTTCCTCGAAATTGGCCAACAGCAAGACGTTTCCGATGAACCATCCTGCCAGCCGAGTGTACATATTTTGTTATTCACAGATACAATATCAGCATTCGCCTGCATAAGCAGTGAAAAACAAACGATTGTCATTTCTAGCTTCACCACGCTTCCACCGATCAAGCCTCTGAGATGCAGACAGGGGTAATCGTCCAACGTACGATAACAAGCCCAATCGGCGCTGGCGGCGACCAGGCCAGCTGAGCTCGCCTGATGGTGCGAAAGAAGGCGCATCGTGGGTCCAGAAACCTGAACTTGGTATGTCATATTCGGAGATTTGCTGTCACGGGGTTGCTCGATGCATAACCCATCGATCCGTCCAGTTTGATCTCTTGTTGCTACCGCCACGCTCCCCTCTTCGGGCTGGACATCCCCAAGGCCCACAGCGCGCCGCTCCCAAGATGGCCCGGGTTTGCTAGCAAGCTTAGTATATCGATGAACCTTCCCTTCGACGTTTAGAGCGAGGATGTCCCCCACCCCAAGGGTGAACAGACAGGCTAAAGGCACCCCATCTGGGATAGGAAACATGCGCCGGTGCGGGAAGCGGTTTGACCCTGCAGCTGGGGGCTCTGGGGTGAGTCCATGGTGATCGTCAGCCAATTCAGAGGGATCCAGAGCAGCTCGTTGAGATCCTAGTTCGTTTTCGGAGGTTGTCCTGACTTTGCTGATGAATGGGCGCTTGACGTCCAAGTAGAGCAGTACTAGTACTAGAGGAGGGACAGAGCATCAGACTCAGACCCACCGGCTCTGCTTCATTGGGCTCAAAAAGCGGATCCAATCTGAAGACACTTACCCGCTACACCTAACACCGATGGGCGTCGTCAGGCCGTCCATGACCATCGATATCTTGACATGTTACAACTCCAACTTGCACTCCAGTACTCATCACAACAGTACTACATGTAGTACCTCGTCTCAGGGTACACATCACAGGCATCGGATACCGAGATCTAGATAACAATCATCCTGTGGGTTCGCTTTGGGTCTAATATCAAACGGCCCGGCTGCGGCCGATCGGGTCCTCAGGCCGATGGACCTTTGCATTGATTGTCAGTTCCCTGGGACAATATTGTTCATTGCTTATCTGCATCGGTCTAGAGTCTATCAGATCAGATCATGTATAGAACTTGGAAATCGTATACAACTTGGAGACCATCGTATGGAACTTGGAGATCATCGTATACAACTTGGAGATCATCTTACAGACGAGCTGCCAACAACATTCACCTAACATTATTGTTGACCTATCCCCCATCAGACCCATGACTCGAACAGAAAAGCAAGATCATTGTGCACTGATGTTGGAGCTTCGATTCTCACTCCACGGCGAGCTTAAACAAGTGTGACTCAAAATACGGTTGTGACTGGTCTTGCTAGTCAAAATACGGTTGTGACTGTTCCATACCCTAGTGCTGGTCGCTCGACACTTGGCATCAAACAGTATGAGGTATAAGTAGATCCAATCGTCTAGGAGTTGAGCGCAAAGAGAAGGCAAAGTCCAAGCTGAAATGTAACTCTTCCTTCCCATCTTCCTTCCCATCTGTTCCATCTGAGCGCTAACCCCTCACACCAGCAGAGCATCACTCGAACCCTACCCTCACCCAACAACCAGAATGGGGACGTCCCCACCCAAAGTCCAGACTTTCCTCTGGTTCGACACCTCTGCCCAATCCGCCGCTTCCTTCTACCAGAGCGCCATCCCCGGCTGCACGCTCCTCTCCCAGAACCAGATGTCCGTCACGCTCTCCCTCTCGGGACACGAGCTGATCTTGTTCAACGGCGGTCCAAGCCACGCGCTCTCACCCGCTGTATCCCTCTTCCTCACCTGCTCGGACCAAGCGGAAATAGACGACCTATGGGCCAAGCTGCGTGATGGGGGTGAGGAAATTGCCTGCGGGTGGGTGAAGGACAAGTTCGGGCTTTGTTGGCAGGTCGTACCCCGCGGGCTTGACAAACTCGTCTTTGGCAGCGGGAGGGCGATGCAAGTTATGCGAGGGCAGAAGAAGCTCGAGATTGAGCCGATCAGGAAGGCAGCGGCGGAGGATGGGGTCTTCCTTGAATGAGAGGATACTTAGCGCATGAGCAGGAGCCACCCAACCCCCCGTTCGAAATGTCACATGGTTCTTTTGATCTTCATTCGTTATGTATGTACAATCTAGCTGCCCAACGTCGTTGTCGTGTTACACAGCGTGGCCCAGTTAACAGTACCGTTCAGCGCAGCCTTGTACCCAGCGACGAACGCCTCAAACAGGAGGGACTCGAATACCTGCAGCGCCTCCCCGTCGGAATCGTTGTCGTTGTTGCCGTTGTTGTTGCCGCCACCGTTGTTGTTCCAACCACCGTTGTTGTTGCCGCCACCATTGTTGTTGCCGCCACCGTTGTTGTTGCCAGAGCCGTTGTTGTCGCCGCCGTTGTTGTTGTTGTCACCGCCGCCGTCGTTCTGTGGCCACCGGTGGGCGAGATGGAGCAGCTCGCGCTTGTGCTTATGCTGCGGGTTGGCGGGGTTCAGCTCGGATTGGCTGACCGCGACTGCGATTGGCTGTCGTGCCTGGAGGGATCAGCTGGGGCGGGTGATACGGAAGCTCGGACGGACTTGGAGAACATCTAGCACAGGGCTGGCAGTAACTCCAAGGAGGGAGAGGAATCCAATGACGAGAATAGCGAACTTCATGTGTAGGATGGTCCAGAGGCGGGGGAGGGCTGATACTGCGATGAAGCTTCTACGTGAGAGGGGTATTTTAAGGTATTCGGGATCAGGCTAGTCCAGGCCGGCTGTAAAACAGAGACACGAGAGGCACAGGTCTTGCCATTCATAGAGGGCAAACGTGAGTTTGACAGCTAGGGGAAGAGAGGAGATGGCGGGATGTTCTGCCGTTCAGATGATGAGCGGTTGGAGTCGACCTGAGACTGAGCAAGCCATTCGAGCCAGAACCAGAGTGGCCGGCACAGTACTAAATATCCAGCAAAGCAAGAATAGAAAATCTATAGTTTGATTTAATATAGTGGTCATTCAGCCTCCCTATGGAGACTCAGCATGCATTTGTAGTTCTTCTAGTGGTGGTTGGAGGACTAGTAAGGCCACGGCAAAAAGCGGAGCCAAATCACTCTTTCGCCCAAACCAGAATTCCACACTCCATCCCACCACCAAGATATCATGGCCCCCACACGAACAAGAAAGCCCGTATCAACGAACCCCCCGTCCATTCCGCTCGCCAGACAAGCAGCAGCGCAGGCACAGCGGAAAGCGAAAGTGAAGGGAAAGAAATTGTCAAAAGGAGCTGAGAAGGCGAGAGCGGCGACTTTGAGGGAAGAGCTAGATGCGGGTCTTGGGCTGCTGTATACCGTCAGTTTCTGTATTTCGTAAATTGGACCTTCGCTCATGTGACTTGGGAAGATACGCCCGGATAGGACAGAGCTGGAGAAACAGGCGCTGCGGGGAGAGGAAGGGCGAAGGGATGTGATGACGGTTCAGGCTGAGATGGAGAAGATGAGTGCTAGAGAGTGAAGGATCTCTCACTCGGAATCCACGCAGGACTTCCCCCGCATTCGTCCTCTTTCCCGTTCCCGTTGTGTCTGCATACCCTCTGTCATGTAATACCATTTTTCATTGTAGACGTCCAAATGTGGACAATGACATCAGTACCCTGCACCCTGACAATGAATAATTTCAGACTTCTCGGTCGATAGTCACTCCGTGACGGTCGACGACGACGGCGACAACGACAACATGCCCAAACCGCCGCTAGATCTAACGCTATATCTCGTCACGGGCAGGGAATTGCTGCCTCCTGGAAAGGTGAGAGTGACATGTCCTTGAGTGGATTGCGCTGACGATGTGTAAAGGACTATTATGAGTCGCTCGACGAGGTTGGTGTGGGTATCGTGATGAAGAATTGTGATTCACTTGCCTTGGACAGTCATTACAGGGAGGTGTGACACTCGTTCAAGTAAGGGAGAAGAAAGCGGATACTGCAGAGGTCCGTGTTCTTCATGAGCTCAATCCTCTTTCTGACCAGTGTCCAGTTTGTAGAAGTCGCGGTAAAGACGATCGAGATATGTAAAAAGGCACGCTTTCACTCTCGCACGTCAGGCTCAACTTACAAGTGGATATAGTACAACGTTCCTGTATTGATCAACGACCGGATAGACGTCTGCCTCGCCTCCGGAGCCGCAGGCGTCCACTTAGGCCAGACAGACATGCCCATCTCCCTCGCCCGCCGGCTTCTTCCCCCAGAAGCGATGATCGGTATCTCAGCAGGTAACGTCGACGAGGCGCGGGCAGCGAAGGATGCGGGTGCGGACTATGTGGGTATTGGGGCTCTGTGGTGGACGGAGAGTAAGCAGCTCGTCAAGGACGTATTGGGCGTGAGGGGTGTGGGGCCGCTGTTAGATGTGTTAGAGGGAAGCTCAACGAAGGCTGTTGCCATTGGTGCGTTATCCTACTTGACATACAACATAGTTTATGTTACTCACGTTCATGTGCAGGAGGCATAAAGACGACCAACATCCTCCGCTCGTTGCACGGCGCCGTCGGCCCCGTGTCCCTGCGCACGCTCGACGGAGTCGCCGTGATCAGTGCCATCGTTTCCTCGCCTCGGCCGAAACAAGCAGCCCAGGAGATCAAGAGCCTCGTGACGGCCTTCAGGAGGTCTTCCCCGGGGATCATCACCATGCCTTTGACCCTGAGGACGCCGGAGTCATTGAAGGAGGGCGTTGTAAGGTTGATGGCGAGGATCAGGAAGGATACACCTATTATTCACCGTGAGCACGCGCCCCTCTCTTCCTCAGCATCACAGCTGGCAGCACGCTGATCTTGACACAGAGATAACGAACAACGTAACGGTCAACTCCCTAGCCAACGTCACCCTCGCCATACGCGCCTCCCCTATCATGGCAACCACACCTCAAGAGATGCCAGACCTGGCGCGCTTATGCCACGCCCTGCTGATCAACTTTGGCACCATCACCGACAAAGCCGGTATGCTCGCCGCAGGAAGGGAATACAACGCCCGCAAGAAACCTATCGTCTTCGACCCCGTAGGGATCGGCGCTACGAGCTATAGGAAGGAGGCGGCGAAGGAGATACTGAATACCTGGCAGGCGGCGGTGATCAAGGGGAACCCGGGGGAGATTGGGGCTATGTATGGATCGAGCGAGGTAGAGAGTAGGGGAGTGGATAGCAGCGGGCAGGTGTTTAGCGACCCTGTGAAGGTCGTTCGGGATCTTGCTAGGAGGGAACGTACGTCCTCCTCTGCTCCATGTATGCTATTTCTTGCGATTTGCTAACGGGAACGGCAGGCTGCGTTGTTGTCATGACCGGCCGAGAGGACTACATTTCTGACGGCCTTTCGGTCATTCGGCTCTCGAACGGCCACTCACTGCTCGGAGACATCACCGGCGCAGGATGTATGGCCGGCAGCTGCGTTGCGACGTTCTGCGCTGCAGCTAGGCTGGAGGTCGAAGAGGAATGGGTGGGGAGGTTGGGGAGAGGAGATATGTTGCTAGGCGCTGCTGGGGGGTGAGTTTGCTTCTTTCCCCCTCTGACCTTACTTGCTCTCTCCTCTTGCCTAATGATCGCTCACCTTTGGTTCTGGTACAGCGTGCTGGCCCTCTCTATCGCTTCCGAACTAGCGGCTGCACGTCCAGACGTCAAAGGCTCGGGCACATTCCTTCCCGCACTCATAGACGAAGTGTACAACTTGACGCCTGAGACGATGATGCGCAGAGCCAAGATAGAGGTCTTAGAATGAATGAAATTAAATAATTTGTGTCTTTCATACCAAGGAAGAGGACGCTCGGCTTCTCGGGAGAGATCGTCAGGTTATGTGGGAAAAAAAAGAAATAAAAGAAATAAAAATAAAATAAAAATCTTGCTGTATGTCTCCCTAATCGAAGGATCATGAATACCCCTGTGCAAGAAAGAGTCAAGTCGTCGACTTCATCTTGATGGCAATCAACTGCCATAGCAGCTCTCCCACGGCATCCAAATAAACAGCCAAGAAAATCACACTCAGAGCAATGTATTATCGTATTTTGTCAATCTACTCAGGATACAAACACGCAAGGATACAGACGACGTGGCAAAGTTCTTCAACGACATGATACCGGATATCACCCGATGCGGGACATCCATATCCAGAACCTCAGATATAGAGAGATAGAGATAGAGAAAGGGATGTTGCACACATGGCAGGACTGGTCCTCAACTAGGCAAGGGAGGTGGTTGTCATACAGATTGCAGTAAACTTGTCTGTGTGCCGTTGGGGAATTCACACATGTTTTGGTCGACGGTGTGCCGCACTATGAAATTAAGCCTGCAGCACTCGATCCGTGACGATCTGCACGCTCTGACATATCCTCGGGATCGGTTTCCCATCCAAGGGGGTAAAGCACGCCGGAGTAAACTGGACACAAAGTACATGCTGCACACGATCAGACACCGCTCTCAAGAAGGAAACAGTAAAGCCTACCTCGACTACGAACCCGCCAAAGCTAAAACTGGGTTTCGTTTCCCTTGGCACATGAACAATGCCTTCCAGTACCTTGGTCTTCATCCGCCCTGGGCTGCCGCTGTCGGAGCTGGCGATACGTTCTGGGCTCAGAGGCGTCATCACCTCACTTGAAGTCACTGGGCTGTCGACGGAGTCTTCGGCAGTGCGTTCTCTGCGAACTTCGACCCCGCCGCTTGCTAGGCTCTGTACGGATACTTCTTCCCTGTGAACGGATACCCGTTGCTCTAGCTCGCCCTTTACGCTATCCTCCGCTCCTACAAGATCGAGCGCCATCGTTTCGTCTCCCTGGAGAACGAGCAAAAACCGGAGAGGATGGCCGCGCGGGTAGATGAGAGGTGCGGGGAGGAGGAGCCGGATGTTGAGGGTTGCAGGGTGGTGCGCGAAGAGGAGACCGTTGACAGTGATGGAGCGAGTCTCGAGGGAGATGTACGAGGGGATGGAGGAAGGGGGAAGCGGTTCCAGGAAGGGAGTTATAGGAGTCGTTATGATAGGAGTCGGTGTGGAGCTCGTGAGAGAAGGAGTGACAGAGAAGCGTCTTTGGTCAGTGTCGGAGCTCGGCGAGTCGGGCGAAGGAGGCACGCTCGTACGGGTGGAGTCAAACGAGGCGGTTTCGTTTTCTCCTAGAGGCTCGATGATCAGAGTTCCCATGCTGGGATGCGGTCGGCCGAGGGGATACTGCGGACTCGAGCGGGGAAGGAACACGAACGGCACTATTAGTCTATGATTGCACCAGAAGTAAGGCTCCATCAGTCGTACGGACTAAAGGCAGAAAAGAGCAGAACGTACGTATAGGGCTCACGGAGAATACCACGGTACGCAGTGAGCATGATCTCATACTCAGTCACCGCGCTCGGGCTCTTGTTCCTGAAGCTTGGCGGGAGGGGTAAGCACTCCGACTTGCCCGAGGAAGGACTGCCATTTTTTCCATCTCCCCCGCGGCCAGGAACACGCACTTGTAGCGGTAGCTGCAGCGCTATAGGCCAGTGGTGGTTCCCTTCTGCCAGACCCGCGTGGTGGAAGAGTTTTGATACAGATGACTTCGGTAGTTTGCTCGCAGGTGTCGATTTAGGCGCGGACCATAGTTTTTGGGCGGTGCTCCAGAAGATGTCAGGAGAACCGGTCTCCGGAGGCGCGAGGCGACCTCTCACCTGTACGACATGGTCATTATCCAAATGCAGGCTTAGACGGCAACACAGAGAACATACACGGAAAGTGATTTCCTCTACATGTGTCGGTTTGTGCAACATCAATTGTACGCCTGTCCATACTCCGTGTCAATACTCTCCTCGCACGATAATGCTGAAGACGCAAGGTGAAGAAACAACACGCACCGCCTTCAATCACATCACCATCAAACCACAAGGGTTTATGCTCCTTGCTCCCCGCTCTGCTTTTGCACCTGAGGCTCAACAAGGGTCGCCTTTTCACCCTGAGTACAAATTCATGCTCGACCCTCTCCGTCTCCCTATGCGTGCTCGCGGGTGGGCGGTGCGGTGGCTCATCGTCCAGCAAAGCCAGCCGCGGAGGCTGAGGTTTGTTCAACAGAATGGGTGGTGAGGGCTTGGTATCATTCGGATGTCGTAACTGGGGTGTTGACCAAGCATAAGGGTAAGTGGCCATGCCTAACCGATAGGGGCGATGAGGATGTGCTGTCCTTGCTGTGCGAGATGTCTGTTGAAAGGCAGCGGTGCCGTCTGTAGGTTGTGGTAGCTGTGGGTGATGTAGGATGAAAATGTATGCACAGGAGTAAGCGTTGATGAGGTCGAGGAAGAGGTGAAAGATCAGGGGCGGCCCAGCAACCCCGTGAGGCCATGTGCTCAGTGTACAAAGGAAGATATACGCCCATTCCCAAAGCGGGGAATATCAGAGTCATATCTTGTTATGGAAATGCTCTTACCCTGGCAAGACGTCGTTCCTTCCATTCCTGGGTGATCGGCCTAAGGGATAAAACAAGAACAAAGATCGGAAACGAATTCCTCCGAGCCGGTGGCAACCTTCATCAGAAACGATCATCCTCCTCAAACGGCGCGGGTTAACTTCGCTCCATCACTTCTTTACTATGGCAGGAAACCGACACCGACAGGCCGTGGTGTATTTTCACGGTTGATATCAGCAGCCTGATTTACTCATCTTTGAACTGAAGAGCTGCTGGAAGACCCGTGGCTGGGAAATAGCTGCAAGCGTTCTCTCTCTACCCAAAACTAGTGGTCTGCCACATCAACCCATGCACCAACGGCTTCCGCACATAGCAAATACCGTTTGTCATTAAAGAAAAGTGCGTCGTGCAGTGGTACATGCAGGTGGTGTCACTTGCTTCTCTCCCGCTTTCCTGACCCATCCGGGCGATACCAAACGTATCTCCTCACTGCCATTACTGCGCCCTGCACCTGATCTCCAGAACTACTGGACTAGCCGGCGCTTGTAGCTACCGGATTCTGTCATGGCTTGCGTGCTACAGCTTAAGCACTGTGCTTCTTTTCCGCTTTTGTTACCCAAACCGGTCGATCCCGAGGGCACCGCGCCAACAGAAGAGGATTCTGAGACCGCTCTCCTGGATATCAGAAGTGCGTTTCATGTGGCTCACCCTCCGTTAACGGGTGGGCGTATCTTCAAAATCCGCATGGTCTAGGAGCACTCTCCGCGGCTGCACCTCTGGCTTCTTTTCCGCTTTTCAGACCAAAGTCGGCTGGTCGGCAATGCACCTCCAATTGGTCGAAGTAAGCGACATCTGCTAAGGCAAGCTTCAACTCAATATCATATGAGAATCATGCGCAAGGAAGACTGATGTATGATGAATGTCTCCTTGACACCTGCTTGTTATGCCACGAACCTGATTTATCAGACTTGGGACCACGCGGACCGTTGATGGTATGCGATTTCGTCGGACGTCCAGCCCGCATCAAATGCTCGATATACCACCTATGGATAAAATATATGGCATTGGAGGCTCACGAAGTGGAGGACGACGTGCCTCTCACTCGGGAGGTATTGTACGTGACTCAATGCACATGTAGTGTTGTGATCTGACAAAGCGACTAGATTCGGGACCAACTGATGTGCGAACCGATCAGAATTCTCGATCGAGTGATTTTTCACTTGCTATATGTGGATGTCCAAGGTCTCTCCAACTTATGGATGTCGGCAGATCATACGCCGATTTGCCAGCTCATTGTCCCATCGTTGTGCCTTCGAACATCTACAAAGTCAAAGCGGGTCACAATGGTTGACATTGGTACTGGATCTGAGTTTGGCCTGCCTAGCCTACTAGCACACAATCACCGACCAGGATGCAGCCCGACCCCACGCGACGTGCTATACTCGACTGCACTGCGGACCAGTCACCTGAGCTACCTACGTATCACGAGTACTTACTCCGAGAGAAAGGCCGGCCGATACTAGGATTAGGGTGCCGGAGCCGTGCAAAAGCCTCTTCATCCAGGCCGGTGTGGTATGACGGCGACACGATTGAAGGAGGTAGGTTATTTTCTCGTGCCCAGAAATAGGCGCCCAGCCGACTCTGAATAAGAGTTCAACTTATGCTGCGGACCACGTTCTCCGTCGAGAGGGTCATCGTTCGTGTGAGTAACCTTGTCTTTTCTTACCTGCGAAAATTGAATTTCTCCAAGGTACAAGGACGAATTGCCCCTCCCGACGTGGGAAGACCAGATGTCTTCTGGAGCACCTCTCATACCATCTATGCTACTTCCTCCGTAATACGCAGTGACGGCGCTAATTCCACCGGTCTGAAAGCAATGTTTCCCCGTCTACCAGCTGGGAATTACCACTGGCTATTTCGGGTTTTTCTACCAGATTTTGTGACGATCAATACACGCTCAGGCGGGGAGTCGTTTCGCCTACCACCGAGCTTCAGACAACCGGGAGCGTCTCCCCTGGTAGAATATGAGATCCGCGTGACCGTCGAAAGGAACCTGTTCCTGAATCAATTGGTGTAAGTGACCTGGGTCCGAGCAAGAACGCGCGCTTATGACTTGCAGACTTGTGGTTCCTTTCGTCTTCATCCCACGTTCTAGTGTCCAGTATGCTCTTGGTACCTCACTGCCAAGACAGATGATCCGACCTTGCTCGGCTCAACGACACACAATGCTGGGACTGGATGCGTACCGAGCTGTAACCAAGTCCCTGTCTTCTTAAAGGTCCCAATGCTTTGCACCCCGATATTATGAGCCGCTTGCAGAAGGGCTAGAATCGATATATACGACATTCGCTGGCGTCTTATTTTCGGTCCGTCGTGTTGATGTGTCTTGCAAGATTTTCTCCCACGTACCGACGATACTTCCCCGTGGGCATTCGATCCGACTCACCGTGGTGTTGGAGTCAACTGATCAACAGGCTGTTGATCTCCTCGCAAGCCCCAACTCGATATGTTTCACTCTAGAACAGCGAGTCACTGCTGCCGGCTGTCAAACCTGGCAAGAAGTTCTCGCTACAGGCGATTTGACGCTGCGTAAGCGGCGACATTCAGCAACCGCCATGGATCCACCGGGTGACAAGGAGTCGAGAACCTTGGATGCAATCATGCATATACCCCCGAATACGAAACCGACGTTCAGCTTCATCACTTTCGTCATTGAGGTGCGATCAACGTTGCGCTGTCTACCGATGATTGGCTGATTGATATATTGCATTTTCTGGTATTGCGATTTTACTCCAGTTGCTTCGCCCCTTCCGATGCCAAAGCGCTGCCGCAGGTAACGAAGAATATTCAAGTTGTCACCCATGATGTTCTCTCGCCTGAAAGCGATTCAAGCTCTGGCGCGGCAGTACGCGGCGAATGATGAATGAAGATATTCGGGACAGTGCTCATGATATGATCTCTAACTAATATTCTGTGATCATGTTGATGGGATGCGTAGTAGGTTCGGTGTTTGATATCTGGTCTTCTCAGCGTGGTCATAGCTACGAATATGGCAAGTAATTCATGTAAGTGGACATTTACTGATCTTGATTGGTACATGTCTTCTTTACATGCACGTGGTATTGATAACACGTGTACCGCACATTTGATATGTAGTTCCCCAGTGACTGGACTGCAACGTCAAGTGTCATTCCCTCTCTGTCTTCTACAGAAAAAGATGGACGTGATGCTCTATCCTACAAAACACTCGCGGAGAGCGCAATCGGGAATTTCGGTTGTCACTGCCCCTGAGAGAACCAGCCTCGTGATGAAAGCAGTGCAGTCCGGTATTGTTCGGGTTACATGAACAATCATGGTCATAGTAGACACTTCAAGTTGACCTCGAGCAAGCAAATAGCGCCACACATTATTGCACAGCGTCGATCTCCGCTTGCACCGCGCGGGGTTTGCTATGCCTAGATACGACGGTCGAGCACCACCGGTCATGAGTCCGATCGGCGTCCTCCTCACCATGGTGCTGCGCAACTGAAGCCAGATTGGCTGTTTGTTCCAATAACGGGTGTCCTACAGTCCACTAGATGGCTATGGGTACTGCACCATCTACTCTTAGCTGCTGCTGCTGGTTTACAACGCAACACTGATCCACATGATACGGCAGGTCAAGCCTCACCGACGCAGCCTTGGCTGAGCCGTAGCAGCACCGTTTACCAGCTTACATCAGACCCGATGTGGGGGTGCAACCCTACCCACGTTTCTTATAAGCATGCTACTCATTGTCACACCTCCCTGGCAACAATTCTCAAGGTGTCAACATGTCTCTTCACTTACGAAAGCCAGTCTTAGACGAGCCTCAGGTTGATACTCGCCTCCTTCATGAACGGGTTCTTTATCGCAAAGACAAACCAGTCATCTCGCTCAACTTCCGAAGCTCCGAAACGTCGGCAAGTGGACAACCGATCTTCTGCAATGAGGCTATTATCGAAGGAGTTGTTCAACTTCTTGGTACCAAGCATGTCGAGCGAGTAACTTTCCAAGTCTGTGCCATTTTCATTCGTACCTTTTCTCTCTACTCATTCACTCCTAGGGAAAGGGGATTCTGACGGCCCCAGATCTTGGGACCGAAAGTGTATTCTGGAGCTCTGAAGAGGTGCTTGATCATTCTTCTCTTCTTACAACCTTGCTTCGGCGCCTGACATGGAGACGCACCAAGGTCTTCACTGGCTCTCATGCTTGGCGTTTTCAACTGCGGCTGCCAGCGCATGTTCCGGTTCGCACCAGAGGAGGACTGGTACAATGTCCTCTTCCCCCCAGTTATCGGCATCAAACCGGCTCCGCAACGCTGCAGTACCATCTAGCGATCACCGCGTCCCGAGGCGCTCTGCGCGAATCTTACAGGTGCGAATTTTTTTTCTTTAATCCCATCGCGCAACGAATGTTTACGAATGAAGACTTGTCGTTCCTTTCCTATACGTTCCACGAGGCACGCCAGAATATCCTCTTTGGCGAACAGTCTCGTCGCAGGACGACGAGGTTACTGTCGAAGAGGGATTCGTCGATATCAGCCCCATTGGGCCGAGATCAATTCCCACCGGGTCTTTCACCGAAGGCCTATCTGACGATTCCCCGCAAACCCTGCGTCAGCAATCCATACAAGGAACTGCATTCAATCGTGGTGTGCTGGTCACGATTCAAGTGGGTGTTTCATGGCTGTGGTCACCAACCAGCAATAAACTAACAGCGTCCTTCAGGCGAGGTACAATAGGCCCCCCATATTCGCACGTGACGCGCCAATCAGAATCGCACTATCGTTCGAATCGGATGATGCTCAGGTGTTAGACCTCCTGACTTCTACCTCCTGTCTTTCAGCGCATCTTGAACAGCGAAGCATCTTTTCGCGCGGCTCGACCTTCACCGACATCCTGTGTCGTGCTACTGTATTTCGAGATCGCCCTCCAGCGCCAGTATTGGGGCGTCAGCGGCTGCTTATGCAGCGCAAAGTTGAAATATGTTTTCAGTGTCCTGCGGATGCATGCCCGTCATTCAACTTTCCAGGACTTGCAGTGAAGGCAAGCGAGATTTGCCATCATTCTGACCTGAAAGCTGACGATTCAGCAGCATATCGTATCAATTCAAGTCACCCCAACGGGAATATTTGTGCCAGCTGTCCGGAACGTTCCGCCCTTACGCCTTGAGGTGCAAATCGTAACCGATAGTGTCTTCGCATGAAGAATATGACGGTTTGACGATGATGGTTTGTAGCAAAGTCTCGCTGTATTTCTAGTCACGACCTCGCACGTGCGCACGAATTTTTCTGTCTTCCCAGAGCTCAAGAATAAGATTATCAAGCCCTGCGCTATAATATTGATATCGATGTTGTTGTCCCGTAAATGACCTGCGAAAATTTGCCTCGCTGTCCGAACTTTTTCGGTTCAAGATAAGAAGAGAAGTCGTTCCAATCAAGAAGTGGGTGACTGCAAGCATGGTTTTATCTCTCTCGAAATTCTGTGAGTTTCATTGATTACATTCTTGTGGCGGATCGTATTAGTGCCATTCTAAATTGTTAGTCTCCCAGAACGGGTGCAGCAAATCCGGCCCGATGTTCCGGCAGGTACGACAAGAAGCTCGGACGGGTTATTTAAGTATTGACCACGTGCGTGTGATTCTAAGCAGATGAGACAATCCTGGAAGCTAGCTCCCGTGGATCATCCCGAACTTCTAACCCACTGACGTCATGAGAGACTTCTTAGGTCGTAATTGAGGTATATTTAGGGCTGAAGCTCGAGAATCATGGCGTTCATTGTCATGCAATGTAGTTTTCTATATTCGCGCCATAGGGAACCTCCTCTCTGTGATAAAGGAGAAGGGAATGCAGCAGACGCAGTTGGAAGAGTACGGCGATTTCCTTATCAGGACCTATTGATGGCGTGTAACGGTCCGCGTGCACCGCATGCAGGGTTCTGGAGATAAACGTCATCAATACAACCGCCATCCAGGAGCTGGTCTCCGTCCATATTTACGTTTCCATCATCCCTTTACAAGGTGTTGTATATATATCATGCACTGTGCTTGAAGGCGGTGAAAGGGAATTTGTTGTGCCAAGAGCATTTTAGATAGCCGAAGGGCAAACGTGGACAACTGCACGACGACGCGTTGTTGTAAAGTCCAGTTTTTCTAAGTACTGCGCCACCCCCAGTTCATCACCGTTGTCGCGCATTCATCGTCGCGCTGTCCATGCCTCCACAGGCTGGGAGACGCATATAGCTGCGACCTCTCCCCTCTCGTCTTCCATTCTCGACTTGACTCTCTTCGACGATTTGCCCCCCTTGTTACACCGTACGCCATACACATACCATCGATCTGCGAAGACGACACAGAGGAGAGTCCGACTTTGCTTCCCCGGTCTTCCTATATTAGCGTCCGACCTCCTCTTCTCGTCTCAGCTCTTACGCCCACGCTCAGCTAACACCCCATTCCCCCGTCGATCACCCTTGTCGCTCCTCACCACACCCTCACAAACACAGAAAGGTCACACGATTGACCCGGCCTCAATTCCAAGATGTCTTCAGCAGACAAGCTCCGCTCCAAGGTATTTGGAACAGTCGATGGGATGGCCTCTTCCTCTTCATCCTCCTCCCCTCGTATGGGACCGACCACTAAGTCGCAGACACCAACACCTCCCCGATCAGACTCTCCCTCCGATCCCCCGCTCAGCATCAACATCCCCAAACCCCCTCCCTTGAACCTCACCCCCATGCCGAGCACAAAAAGCCCGCATACGGGTGGTAGTCGTGCATCGGCCAAAGAGAAAGGGAAGGAGAAGATCCAGGTAGAGGTCCCGCACACCAATGGAAACGGGAACGGGGGGCATCCCTTACACTCACCCCGTTTCCTGAACGGCAAGAGGGAGGGAGATAGCGCAGGAGAGGAGAAGGAGTACACGAGTACACGCGACAGATACCGCCTTAAGATGGGTATCGAGTACAAAAGTGTAGAACACGCACGGCTGCAGGAAGATGAGGCGCACGAGTTCTACTGGAAGCGGTGGGGCCCCTATCTCTCGGAGAGACAATGGGTAACCGCAATTGAATGCTATAAGCGAGTATATGCTGAATATATGCGTAGGCAACAGTCCGTGAGGATTACTCCGCCGATGGTAATGCATGGGCTGCCTTTCCCCACGCTCATGCACGCTCTCGTGCTTATCGCTGGGGAGAAGATGGTCTTGCCGGACTGTCCGACAACCATCTACGGTTATGCTTCTCTCTGGCCCTCTGGAACGGTGTCGATCCCATTCTCAAGGAGCGGTTGTTTGGCGTCACTGGCCATCAGGGAAACCACGGCGAGGATGTCAAGGAGATGTACTGGTATCTCGACAGCACGCCAACACACTCGTACATGAAGTTCTTGTACAAGTATCCACAGAAGCCGTTCCCGTATGAGGAACTGGTCAGCGAGAATCAGAAACGGAGTAGGGATGAGCCAGAATACGAGATTATGCACACTGGTATATGGAACGAGGACCGGTATTGGGATGTGTTCGTGGAGGTCCGTCTCTTGCTTCACGATACCTACCCACGTTCGCTGAAACATACTTCTAGTACGCAAAAGATGACGATGAGCCGAACGCGACATCCATTCGTATAACCGCATACAATCGCGGTCCGGATCCCGCGACTCTGCATATTATCCCGCAGTTGTTCTTCCCAAACTCATGGTCATGGTCCAACCCACCCGTCACTGGCCCTGCGAAGCCAATGATGCATGCGTCCAAGACGCAACCCTATACGATCACCGCAAACCATCCAACCATGGGGACGACGCGTCTGTTCTGCACACCATCCCCACCCCCTGTTGCACCTACAGAGGCGGGAGGTGTGGTCGAAGTGGACGGTGAGAGTGTTCTGCCCGAGCTTCTCTTTACCGAGAACGACACAAACTTCGAACGGCTATGGAACGGCAAAAACGCAAGCCCGTACGTGAAGGACGCGTTCCACGACCATATCATCCCCTCACATCGTCCGAAGAAAGACCGTCAGACGAAGAAAGAAAAGGAGCTTTTCGAGGAGCCAGATCAGGATACGCATAAGAAGACGACAGGACCGGAAGCACCACCACGGACGGAACCGAAACACTATGTCAACCCCGCACAGAAGGGCACCAAATCCGCTGCGCACTACGTCTTCCGAGACGTACCCCCACGTGGAGGGTGCGCTGTCGTGCGTCTGAAGCTAACATCGCGCAATCCTGATGAAGATCAAGCTATTTGGGATGAAGAGATATTCGACGACATCGTTGAAGAGAGGCGAGAGGAGGCGGATGAGTTCTATAACCAACTCGCGGGCTCGGTTTCCGATGATTTCAAGAATGTCATGCGGCAGGCGCTTGCAGGCATGCTTTGGTCAAAACAATTCTACCAATTCATTCAAGATCAATGGATCAAGGGGGATCCGGGCCAACCTCCGCCCCCACCAGAGAGGAAGTGGATTCGCAATCAGGTATGCATATATCTTCTCCCTCGTTGTCGTGATGCTGATTATGCAATAGCACTGGAAGCACCTTTATATTGCAGACATTTTGTCTATGCCCGACAAGTGGGAATACCCATTTTTCGCTGCCTGGGACAGTGCCTTCCACTGCATCCCACTTGCAATGGTTGACCCCGCGTTTGCCAAAAAACAGCTCGATCTGCTTGTGCGCGAGTGGTACATGAAGCCTGATGGGCAAATCCCGGCATACGAGTGGAACTTCTCTGATGTCAATCCTCCTGTTCACGCTTGGGCAACATTCAGGGTGTTCAAGATCGAGCGGAAGATGAAAGGTGGTCATGGGGACCTCAAGTTCTTGGAGCGGGTTTTCCAGAAGTTACTGATCAACTTCACTTGGTGGGTCAACCGCAAGGACCAAGACGGCCAGAATGTCTTCGAAGGAGGTTTCCTGGGTTTGGATAATATCGGTGCGTTTAACCGTTCTGAACCACTCCCTACTGGTGGCGACCTTCGTCAAGCCGACGGCACTGCCTGGATGGCATTCTACTCTCTTGTCATGCTCTCCATCGCACTCGAGCTCGCTAAGCATAACGACACATACGAGGATATCGCGTCGAAGTTCTTCGAGCACTTCATCTTCATCGCAGACGCAATGACATACCGCGGAGACGAAAATGACGAATTGAGCTTGTGGAACGAGCAGGACGGCATGTACTACGACGCCATCCAGTGGGGAGTTGGGAGTACACAGCAGCTCCCGATTCGAAGCTTGGTCGGACTCATTCCACTATTTGCAACCCTCACGCTCGAGCCGAGCACAATCGATCGGTTCAAGGGATTCAAGAAGCGCATGGAGTGGTTCATCGACAACAGGCCGGAGATGTCACAGCGTAACATGGCGAATATGCGAGGTAAGCACCATTGCAGGTCGTCACGCTTGAGTCCCTGACACGTGACAGCCCGTGGTCGTGGTGAACGCCGTCTTCTCGCTCTGGCCAGCGAGGACCGTCTCGTTCGAATTTTGGAGAAGATGCTTGACGAAAAGGAGTTTTTCAGCGAGTTCGGTATTCGCTCGCTCAGTTTACACCATAAGGAGCATCCATGGGGCATGCATGTAAATGGCGAGTACTTCGGCGTCGAATACTGGCCGGGCGACTCAAAGAGCGGCATGTTCGGCGGCAACTCGAACTGGAGAGGTCCAATCTGGCTGGCGACCAACTTCTTGCTGATTGAGTCCCTGCAACGGTTCCACCAATACTACGGCGATGCGTTGCAGGTCGAATGTCCTACAGGCAGTGGAGACTACATGAACCTTGCCCGTGTTGCTGAGGAAGTCCAGCACCGGATCATCCACATCTTTGCTCGAGATCCTGAAGGTAGTCGAGCCACAAACGGAGGCGTTGCCAAGCTAGACAAAGACCCTCACTTTAGGGACTACGTCTGGTTCCATGAATTCTTCCATGCCGATGATGGTAGAGGATTGGGGGCATCGCATCAAACCGGGTGGACCGGTTTAGTGGCGTACCATATCGTCCAGAGTGGTTTGACTTGCCGTCTTCCGAAAACCCCGAGAAGTGAGTACAGCTTCAAGTTGTCGTCTTGTTGACTCATTGTGTTGATTCTTTTCTCTAGCACCTCGGTCCATTGCCCGCCATTACTTTGACGAGCATATCGAACCCCACTCCGAAGTGGGCACTCCGGGGTATTCGATTACTAGCGCATTTACATCAGCCGACTATATGAGTCTTGCAGATACAGAACCGGAGCCTGACGACCTGTGATTTGCTTTACACCTATCGGCCAGGGATGAACCTTCGAAGGATCCCTTCAGGAAGGTTGTTGATGAGAAGCGACGAGGTGTATGCGATGACACAATTTACATGCGTAATTAGCGAGCACATGACTTGGTATCATATATAATAACATGCGATTCCTGATCAGTCTCCAGAGAAAGTATATTGGTGAATGAACATTCCATATTTCTTTTTAAAACACAGGAAATCCGAGACTAGTCCAGTAAGGCTTGACAGCCGCTAGTAAATTCCGATGCTCAATGATCTTTGTGCATTCCCGGCACGTTCGGCATATCGGCATCATTGGTGACGCTCACTCACCGAGAAAGCATCCGCTCATAACAGGCGCATCACAGGCCAGTACAGCATTGCCGACGACAACGAGCGACTATTCTCCGTTCTCTTCGTTGTTTATTCTCTCCATATCTCTCTCTTCAATCTCAAAGCTCGTGGATAATCAACACACAACTTATATGTCGACAGAGGTGCATGAGCAAGCACACGAACTCCGCCCTGTGCATCATCAATCAACTGCCGACTCGGGACACGTGCAGCTTGATGGGCCAGCTAACCCGGGACAACAACCATGCACCCCGGAGGCCCCGGCGGCTGTAGAGACTGAAGAATTATTTCTCGGAGAAGCGAGCACGTTTCATGTGGATCTATATGATGGTGGATTGGGTAGTGCGAGTGGAGTAGGGCAGGAGCTGCTGGCATCAAGTGCAACACAAATCGCCCCAGCGTCTGCCCCCTCTGGCACTGAAGATGCAGCACCACTCCCAGCTCAGCAGCCACGATCCACTCACCAGCTCCGAAGACGTCGTGCACGCGTTCGATGGAGGTTATGGTTGACATCGAAGCTGTACGTGATCAAGATTGCATTGGCATCCAAAAGGGGAAAGATGATCACGACGTGTACCTTTACATTTATCCAAGTGCGTCCCTCCGGAGATCTCAAATATATTCACGCTTACTCTGCTCCTAGATCACCGCAATCATCGCGCTGCTGATTGTATCATCTCGCGTACAGAGCCCTGCGGCACCAGGGTACTCGCAATGGGATGCTTGCCCTCGGCGCCTACAGGCATTCGACATCATCCAGGTCGGAAAGGCTGTAATAGGATGGCCTGTTAATGTTTGGTGGATCCTACGTCAGCCAAACGAGAGCATGTATGTCGCCTTCCACCATCAACCGTGCTGGTGATTAACTTACATGTGATAGCCCCCTCTCAACCATGGGACGCGTCGCGTATCGACTCCGACAAGACTTCATACCCTACTTCACTGCAATACTCCATATTGTGCTCTCTGCTGTACTATTTTCCACGTTGACTGGATCACCTACTGCCTGGGATCTCTCTCCAACTATCTTTTTCGCCTGCATTGTAGCTCTTTTCAGAACCTGGCTGGCTGTTGCGGAGGTTGTGTTACTGGTTGTTGGTGGAGCCATCTATGCTATATGTTATGTACGCGTCGTATCTGCCTCACGTGTCTGCTCGTGGACTCAACCTTTAACAGGCTTCTCTCGCGATTTTTTGTCCGGGGATCTTACCCCGACGAGCAGTACGCCTTGGCGGCATCAACCCGACCATCGGTCCACTCTCCACCACCCAACTCGAGCAAATTCCAATTGTACAATATGCATCTATGTCCACCGTTTCTCTCGTCTTACCCCCTCCTCCCTCAAGCACTCTAGGGCGCTTACGACTCAAACGCAACGATACTTCGCTTTCCGCTTCGAGACAGGCCGTAGGTCCCAAGAGGCACAAGATAGAGAAGCACAGAGCAGCCTGTGCCATATGCTTAAACGATTTTGTCGATATGAAACGTGTGCACAACGCGCCTCCAGTCGAGCAGCCTCGATCTGCCGCTTCCCATAACACCCAGTTTGGGACAGCGCCTTCTAGTCCCCTATCCCTAGTCAGTCCTGCAGCGACGAGAAGGTCGGCTGAAGGTACTGGCGTGGATGTGGAACAAGGCAACGAGGCTACTATTCCGGTCGTGTTCCTCGCCCCTGCCGGTACTTCGCCACTAGGGGAGGAGTTGCCCAGGCCCACACCGACAGAACCGGAGGAGCTGAGATTGTTGCCATGCGAACATGTATTTCATGTGAGTGATTTGCACTGCATTCGTTTCAAGCGCTTATCCGGATCTTACAGAAAGAGTGTATCGATCCGTGGCTGCGGGACGTCTCCGGGCGTTGTCCAACATGCCAGAGACCCGTTTTTGGGGGTGAGGAGGACGAAGCAGTTTAAAATTTATACAAAAACGGTCATGTTCACACAGTGTCTTACTAGAGTCCTACGTTCCATCTTCCCCCTCTTCATTTGTGGATGCTGCTCATATCATATGTAACAATTCCCTAGGCATTTCTTGTCATACTGTGCGTGCGGACAGTCTAATACACTCATTTGTAAGCTTGCCGATCCACCATGTGTTCCTGTGCCTTAGTGTGATCCCTCCATCATCGAGGGGATATTTCCCCACTCTACGGGTCTCTTTCCCTGCGGCGGAGAAGCCTATGCCTCGGATCTGTCACTCAGCTATGTAATCGTGCCCGTTGGTCAGGGCTTAAACGCTTTCACGCGATCAGCTAATTGACGGCCTCCGGACGAGTCAAATTAATCTTTCTGCTGTGTTCATTGAAATGAAGTGCACCTCATATAATCAATGGCTAACGGAATTACTACTATATTTGGAAATCAAGGGTTTATAAGGACCGGAAGCAATAGTCTCAGTCTGCACCAACTGTGTTGTTCAGGGACTTCGTCGTTGACGGATCACGCATTCTGCTCTGGACCATGCTGCAAACTCTGTTGTTTAATTCCTCAGAAGTGCTTAAAAGCTCAACTCGGTGGATAAGTGGAGGAGCGGGAACGCGGTTCAGCGCGCCGCTGCATCGAGGCGGCCTGCTGTCCGGACTATCTTACTCGCACTGCATTCCTTCTTGCCTTCTGAACGGTTGACTGACAAATTTCCTATCACCCCGGGTCTTTCAGGGCATGTCTCCGACTTCCTCCTTCCACCTTCCGCAATATAACGGCGGGAGGAGCTGGCTGCGGACCAACGGCCCCATGTCGAAGTCTCGTGAACAATTTCCGCGCATCAAGATTTTCCCCGTGCCGGAGCCGTACTGCCTTCTGCCTTGTGGGGTCAAACAGGGAGTCCCCTCTTATGCAGTATCGGATCAAGCCATCAGATGTAGTTTCGCTTACACTCTTGCTTCTGTTGGAGAAGTCTCCTCCATCTTACTGAAAGCACAAAGCGGCGAAGTTATCCCCTGGCATCTGTCTCCCTGCCGTGCGGTCCGCTTCGCCTCCATTTATTGATCAAAGACGCCTCAGTTGCCGCTTTTGTTAACCGTTCCCTCTTGTTTCTTGCCGTGGCGATTTGACATTTATCCCGCACAATATGGCCCGATACGCACATTGAGACGAGGGGTTGTTGCGCTTCTCGGTGAGGCGGAGTTTTTTTCCTTCTTTCATTGAGGGTTTGATAAATACGTGCACTATAAGAACCAGTTACCCCAAATTTCCCAGATTACGCAGCACCCACTCTTTTCCTTTCTTTGTATCCTCAAGAAGACCGACCAGCTATGTCAGACGCGCGGGCTCACGGATGTCCTGTAATGAAGCATGTCGATCACGACTCCCTCTATACCAACCTTGAGGCACGTATGGATTACCTGCTTAGTTTCATTGAATTTGGGAAAGGTCAGCCCCTTGGATCACTGTCTCATCGCGCACATTCCTGATTTGAGACAATAGAGGATATAAAAGGGCTTAAGGACGTTGCGCCCATTCTTGGCCCCTTGATACCAACTATCCTCGATGCCGTGTACACGAAGCTCTTCCGATACGATGTGACAAAAGTCCTCCTGCTGCCCAGGAAAATGGGCTACCAGCAAGATGAGCTTGAGAGCGGTCTTGATTCTTTCGGTCACGACTCCGAGCAAACTAAGATTCGTAAAGAGTTCTTGAAAGGGTGGCTTGTGAAGCTGTTGACTGGAGATTACAATTCCATGAGCGTGAGCATCGTCTTGCGTCCATGCGGAACGATTTTAACAGTCGGTCTGTAGCAATGGGATTACATGGATAAGGTGGGCATAATGCACACCGGAAAGGCTGGGTTCAAGCATCGGGAGAAGAAAGCGCCGCTCCATGTGGAGTACATTCACATGGCTGGGGTATGTAGTGTCTCCTCTTTCTGTCTTCCATGTTCTTATACCCTATCAGTTACTTGGTTGGCTGGAAACCATGTTCACGACCACTTTACTTCGGATCCCAGACGCGAAGGTATCGCCCAAGGACAAGTTGCGGATGATTACAGCCCTCAACAAGGTACACCCACTCTATCTTTCCGTTGGGCTTGTCGATGCTGATGTATTGTTCCCAAACAGATTTTCTGGATACAGAACGATCTCTTTGCGCGGCATTACATCGGGCAGAGCGATCTGTTCGCCCGGCATTACATGATGTAGACCAACCTCTCTGCTCCGCACTACATATGCAACGGATGGCGTCGCCAGGAGGAATATTCCCTAGCAAATATAAAATGATATCGATATCGAGGGTTGTAATCCATGTACAAATGGGTCGGGTGATGAAGACGATTGTATAATTCTAGTTCTGGGCGAATAGCTCACATCTCTATCTGGCGTGCGTCTCCGTTTTACAATTGGCCCCTGCAATCATCAAACTGGCAAGAAAAGCCGGGCATACACCAGAGATGTGAATCATATGCGGATCGAGGCTGTCTTTTTCGTCACGGATTGCGTCTTGGCCCACCATGATAAGCACGATGTTCCTATTATTCCGTCTGATCTTTCGTACAGTCTGAAACACGGGTCTGGAAGCAGCTCAGGAGAATTCCCTTGAGACTTTCTTCCTCCTGGCCCGCTCGACAATACGTCTCTCCGCGCTATGATTTTTAGTTCTTCGATGTCCTCGGTCGTGCTTTTCAGGGTCAACAACGTTGACCTACGAATGGGGAATTCATCAGCTGCCCGAAGGAACTGAGCAAGAAAATCGCCTGAATGCAGATATCAAGACAGCATGTGGTGTTGATAATGACTGCAGGGATCCAGGGACATCGTCAACAGTTGGGCACAAGGGCCGTGAGAAAGAACGAGGGACTTCAAGATGATGTCTCACTGTTTTCGTCTCTCATCAAGGGACAGATACGTAGTCCCTGGGTCAATCAAGGCCAGGGACAAGATTTTGGGAAGAATTAAATAAGGAGGTAGATTAGAATTCCATAGCTCATGGTGTAACGTGTGCGGGGTAGGATCCCTTATCCTGATCTTACCTAAGCTGAATTGGTCTAATTGTCTCGATCGCGACGACCAACAACAATCAAGTAGTTGTCCATCCAATATCCATTCGAAAGCCTTGCAAAGTTTAGATATTGGAGGATGAAAATTGTCTACAATGTCTATGTGGAGCTCGCTGGTCACGGGGTTAGGAACTGCCGCCTGATGGGGCATCAGAACGTCCACAGATGGTTGATCAATACGAACTACATTATTGTGGGGTTATAACGGCCCACACGTGCCCGGTGGGATAGCTCCAGTGCGGACGGGATGCTGTTTCGGTAGCGCTCCCTGGGTGCCGCGGGCTTGGCAAGAGCCATTGTCGGTAGAAAAGAAGCCACAGAACCGAGGCCTTGAGAAACCAGAGCGAGATATGGTGGTGGTTCACATGTACAAGTGTAGGTCGTGTTGCCTGGCTGGCTGAGTGGTCCAAGAGAAGTGTTGGCACTGGCAGGAGAAATTCAAAGCACTAGGTGAAGTGTTGACGAATAAGAGCGCCTGTAGTAAGCTCGCCGAAGAGCATTGCACGTTTGGCGCCTTATAATAACGCGACCTGTGATTGGGCCCTATTTGCCGTCAACCACGTGCTTTTCATGAAAATTTCCTTTACCCCGGGCCATTCAGGGCTCACGTCCGACTCCGCCCTTCCACACATCCCGCATGCGCCGGCGGGACGACCATAGTCTCATTGAAATCGCGTGCTTTTTGCTAAATGAGGCTTGGCTGGCTGTCCAGGAGCCATAATCCCGGACGGTATTGCTGCTTGAAGTGCGTTCTCTTCGGGACGCCTCCAAAGGGACTATGGTCCGGAGTCACTAGGGTCTCAACGAGAGTCCAAAATATGCAGGATTTGCACACCATCCCCTGAGGAGAAAGACTTCTCTTCACGTTGTTGGCTCTCATGCTGTCTTACTATGGGGAGCCGTCCGGTCCGCCTCGCTTGGTCACCTTATTGTGCAAGACGCTTCAGTTACTACGTTTGTCAACCTTTCCTTCCTAGTCACCTACGTCTCAACATCGTTTGTCATCTACCCCACACGAAAAGGCCCGGTACGGGATATGAATGAAAGGGTCTTCTTTTCCCTGTTGTGGAGCCTTCTGTCACTCCTGGGCGTGAGAGCTGCACAAGTTATAAGCAGCGAAGTTCACTCAAGGATGTTCATTGCTCTCGACCAGTCTTCTCCACTCTTCAATACCACAACTCTCACGACATCATCATGTCAGACGGACGCGCTCACGGTGTTCCCCCTATGAAGCATGTTGACCATGACACGCTCTACACTTCCCTTGAAGCGCGTATGGCATACTTAACGGACTTCCTCGAGTTCAGCGATTGTCAGTCTATCGGTTCAACTCTTCGCCACGCTCGAGGTGTCTGACACATTCCTATAGCCGATATACAAGCACTGAAGGACATTGCACCCCTTGCTACCCCTCTGATCCCGACCATCCTCGATGCTGTATACGGCAAGCTCTTCACGTACGACGTGACAAAAGTTTCCTTCCTCCCTCGCAACGCTGGATTTGAGGGAAACCTCGCAACGAACCTCGATACATTGGGTCATGACTCGGAACAGATCAAGTTCCGCAAGGATTTCCTAAAGGTGTGGATTGTGAAGCTTCTGACTGGCGACTACAAGTCCATCAAGGTGAGAGTTACAAGAGCCGTGAAATGGTATCCGTGCTCATGCGAGCCATAGCAATGGGAGTACATGGACAAGGTCGGCATCATGCACACAGGCAAGGCTGGCTTTAAGCATCGTGAGAAGAAGGAACCACTCCATGTCGAGTACATCCAGATGAACGCTGTACGTGTCAATTTTGGTTGAGCTCAGCATTGTCCCTCATCCGCTGTAGTTGCTTGGCTGGGTGGAATCTCTGTTGGCTGACACCCTCCTTTCTCTGCCGGAGGAAACGCTCCCATTGAAGGACAAACGCCGGATGATCTTGGCGGTAAACAAGGTACGCGTCTTCATCAGCTAACCTTCGAATTCTTAGCTGATCGCTCGAACTCTTGCAGGCACTCTGGATCCAGAACGACCTCTTCGCTCGGCATTACATAGGACAGGAAGGCCTGAAGCTGGCCGCGTGAGGAACCGGAACTCGGCTTAAGACTTCTAAGTGGTAGACTGAGCCATGTAAAAAGTGTACAAATATAGATTTTATCCCCGGTATTGCGAAATTTTATTCTTGGGCGAACAGCTTCGTGAACGGCATTTCTTGTGTTGGCTGCAACCAGTTCTTCTCGTCATACTTGGCATATGGTTCGGACTCCTGCGTACCGTGAGCAATTGAGCGGGTAGTGGAGAATAAATACGTACAATCATGTGAAAAGTATAGGCATAACGCGTCGCCTGCGAGAGGTTTTTCTCCGACTTGTGTAACACGCTCCCGTGGATTAGCACGAGGGTCCCTAGCACTTCACGTCAGCATTGATAGTCATAAGGCGATCAAGCAATGCACCTGCATCACAAGTCTCCAACACATATTCTGCATCATCCGTTGGCGCATTCTCTTCCTGAAGCTGCTCGAAGCCCGTTCCGCCCGTCGGCAGGCGAACGAACCGTTTGCTGATGGGCGTGGTCTTATGGGAACCGGGGAGAAAGGAGAGCGCCCCGTTCGTTGGTGTACAAGCCTCGAGAGCGAACCAAAATCCGATCGCGGAAGGAGGGTCGGTGTAGAGGAATGTACTTTCGGGGAATAGCGTGAGAGAAGTGGAGACGAAGATAATTCACAGAAGCTCACGAGTCGTTATGCTCAGGAACTGGACAAGGCATCAGTATACTCTGGAATACGATACTGAATACGACGTACCCTTTCCTCCGATCTCAGGCTGCTTGCATATCACCATAGACTGAAGAACTGGATGGGGTCAGAGGATGGGGTGTAGATTAGGAAAGGCACGCATACTCGCTGGGTCCTTATGAAACTTCAGATCTCTTGCCACAGCTTTCAGCTTCGGGTTGTGAGGGCTAACTTCTCTGAACACCGCATCACATTCATATAAACCTGAGCATAACATCGCATTCTCAGATCTGCACAATAGAGACCTGGAAAGCAGGGACGTACCATGACCAATCTTATTCACAGCCCTGTTCTTCGGTCTATTCAACTTGCCATCTTTCCCAACCGCATCTTCTTCCATAAAAAACCGGATTTTGTCCCCGCTGTTGAGGAAGTAGTCGTCTCCGACATGTTTGGACTCGTCCTCTGACTCGCCGGTCGTGAACTTTGTCAATGGGTGTCCTTCTAGGTCAAACGAATCCAGCAGGTCTTGGGTGCGCTTCATGAGCTTATCAACTTCATCTTGATCAAGAAACTGTGGAATGACAAGATAACTGAGGGGTATGTTCAGTGATTGGATATTATCCGACATGAGGGAGTTTACCCGTCGTCATAGAACTACATAGCAGGCGTCAATTGCGAGATCTGGTCTATACAAGTGAAGTCAAGTACCTTAGAGACTTGCGAAGGCGTGAGATACGTCAGTTTTGAGTCGTCGACAGATACGGGTGACATGATATACACAAAACAGAACCAGGTATATTACAGGAGATGGCAGCGGTCGTCGTACACCAAACGTCGTGTGCCAAACAGTGCCAGTGGATCCCTGACAGAATCGGGCACCGAACGACGACTTGTTGGAAGTTGACTCCTTCTCAATCAATTCAAAGCTGCTTAGTTCAATATTCGACATCAACATGGAGCATCGCTAGTCGATTTACCTGCGCAGTCAACAACAATAATATCTTGCAACGACACCGACCGTTCCACCAACCCTCCATGTTAGTAACCTTGACGGAAACTACTAGAGCCCTGTCCACGGTGTACCCTGGCCCCACGCTCTCGCCTGCATTTGTCGCCTTTTCGCTCATTTCTGGCTCATCAATCCTTCCCACTATTGTTGTTAGCCTATCGAAAGATGCTTATGGCTGAGAGCCGTGATGGTTGATGCGGGGTTCAGCATAAGGGGTCATCTACCGGGGAACATCCATTTCCAAAATGGAATGGATCTCTTCCGGGTAAGCATGATGAAGGTGAGTCGACGTAATGCGTCGACTCGCGGTCACTCATCCCGCTTCATTGCAGAAGGGTATTACACCATGCACCCATGATTTGCGCTTGCGTGGAAACATCCGAGAGGCTTACTATCATGGTCCCGTACCGCTGGCGATCTTCGGAGTCGCCGACATGTTCGCTAATGTGAGGACCTCTGGGTATCATATGAATGCCTTTGCTGAGCATATATAAAGCACGTCAAGGACTGCAAGTGCTCCAGCAGCAAGATCAACCACATCGGTCTCGCTCTAGCCCCACATATCGCCTAGTTCAACAATGTCTCGACTCCCGCCCAACAACGTTCCCTCCCTCACTTCCGTCGGACCCCCTCGCACCAAGCTTGGGGAGTACCGCCTCCTCTCTCCCTCTTGCGGGCTCCGCGTCTCCCCTCTCTGCCTGGGTGGGATGTCACTAGGTTCTGCATGGGAGGAGGTCCTCGGCGGAGGTATCCCTAAGGACAAAGCCTTCGAGTTGCTGGATATCTACTGGAAGTCTGGGGGAAACTTTATTGATACGGCGAACGACTACCAGGAAGAGCAGAGTGAGCAGTGGATTGGGCAATGGATGGAGAGCCGGAATAACAGGGACGAGATCGGTATACTACGCATTCCACTGCCTGAACATGTGCGGGACTGATTATATATGCGCATAGTATTGGCGACCAAGTATTCCGTCGGTTACCGCAAGGCCCGCTCAGACGCGGAGGTCTACGTCAACTTCACGGGCAACCATAAGAAGTCCCTGCACGTCTCCCTCCGCGATTCTCTCGCCAAACTACGCACGGAGTACGTCGACATCCTGTATGTCCACTGGTGGGACTACGGGAGTTCTGTGCCAGAGGTGATGCGTGCCCTGGACGACGTGGTCCGGAGCGGGAAGGTCCTCTATCTGGGGATTAGCGATACACCCGCTTGGGTTGTCTCCAAGGCTAACGAGTACGCAAGAGCTCACGGATTGAATCAATTTGTTGTCTGTACGTGCTCCTCATCTAGCATATACAACGGAGCGGCTGACGCAGGACAGACCAAGGCGAATGGTCCTGCTTGAAACGTGATTTTGAGCGAGACATCCTCCCCATGTGCCATGCAGAAGGGATGGGCATAGCGCCATGGGGCGTCATCGCCGGCGGCCGATTCCGTACCCAAGCTCAGCTCACACAGCGACTCAAAGAGGACAACCTCCGATTTGGGAATAAACAGCTTACCGAGGGGGAACAGAAGATGAGCGCGGCGCTCGAGAAGGTTGCTAATGAGGTTGGGGGAGAGGCGAGCCTCGTCAACGTCGCTATCAGCTATTGCTTGCATAAGCAGGCGTACGTGTTCCCTATCATTGGGGGAAAGAAAGTGGAACATCTGAAGGAGAACATCAAGGTTCGCCCGTCGTCCTGTTATGTAATCGATTCTGATCTTTTTATCAGGCGCTTGATATCAAGCTCACCCCGGAGCAGATCGAGTTCCTCGACGCGGCAGTGCCATTCGACATTGGGTTCCCTATGAACTTGATGGGCGGCGATCCGGCACTGTACAAGGACGGAAAGAGTCGTGTGCTCTTGATGCCGATGTGCGGGAGCGTGCAGTGGGTTAGGGCGGACCAACCTATTGATGCGTGAATGGATAATCACACATCTTGACCTCTTGTCCCTTGGTCAAAGAGTAATTCAACATGGGTGCCTGTCACGTGCATGTGAAAATGATCACGATCATCGAGCAACTGACTCACAGCGACGAATATTGACCCAGCTAATCGTCAGCTAAGTTTGTCTCTCTGGAATTTGAAACAGCGATTCACGCACTAGTACTTGATCGACTTTTACCTTTTTTTCATGTGATGCAGTCCAACTGTCGGAATGTCCAAGTTCTCGGTCCCGAACCCCTGACTTGCTTTCTCCCGTATCCCTGCCGGTCCCGCAGAAGGTAGAGCATTCTCTCCTTATGCTATTCTCCAAGTACCTTGCCGTCACCCTCACAGCAGTCGGAACGGTCGCGCTTGGTGCCTGAAACTCGAGTTGAGTTCGCGGTCGACCTGGGTATAAGTATTCACCACGTCCCTCCAGCTCAGATGTCATCCGCTGGCACACCGCCGTCTCGTATATAGTTCCTGATCCTCCTGGTCATCCCTCGTCTCAGCAGCAAACATGTCCGACCCTAAACCAATCTCTATCTACCCACCTGCGGGGAAAGACGGCGCGCCGTCCCACGCTTCGCTTAGCAAGTCCCAGTTCCCGGCCGAGGCGCTGAATGGCCAGTGGTTCCTCGTCCGGTCGACGATGGACATGTGGAAGGTGGGCCCCTTCTTGCTCGATGGGCATGATCGGGGATCCAGTTGCTTACTGCGCGTGGGTAGACACACAAAGATACGAGTATGACGTACACCCTGAGCACGCCGTTCCCCAACCTGGTGTACAACGACAACAAGAAGTTCCGCTCCCTCTCCTCTCCCTCCTCCAAGGCCCCCACATCGATCGATGGGATCTCTACCCTCCTTCCTACCATGGGGGGAAGCGAGGAACATGGTGCCAATTTCAAGTGGCGGGGTGTGGGTTTCCTCTTGCAGATGGCGACTTCTACCTGGCAGATCCTGGGGTACGACCTGGAGGAAGGATGGTTCGTCACTTGGTTCGACAAGACGCTGTTCACTCCCGCGGGGCTGGACATCTATACCCGCAAACCGGATTCCCTGAGCGCGGAGAGATTGGGGGAGATCGTCAAGGCTGCTCAGGCGCTGGAGGGGGATGCGGGCAGGCTCGCCCAGGGGTTCTTCGAGGTGAAGCATGGGGATTGATCCTTAGACCCCGGAAATGTTGCCATATGTCGGCGGCTCGCTCATGTGCATGATCGAATAGCATTAATGATTATGCATAAGTACTTGCGTGCCATCCATTGTCCGTGCAAGATGAAGCGGTTAAATAACCACAAGAAATCTCAATCATGCGAGACCTTCCTTCGGCACCTCCGACAATCAGAAGCAAGCGAGTTCAATAATGTCATCCTCCTCAGCAAGGTCAGCCCAAATGCCAGCAAAAGCATCTTCATCATTCTCGACAAGTACCGCATTGTCCTCTTCATCCATCGCGAAGTCTCTTAGCCTAGCCAAGTCTGCTTGAAACGAGCTCTCGGAAAAGTATTCCGAGTCATCTGAGGTCGGTGCGTCCTGTTCTTCCATAGCAATATAGGTTCGTTTCACAAACTGCCCGAGTATGTCTGCTTCTTCGAGGGCAGCACGTTTCCTCGCCATATCACCTTTGTCCAGCGGGAGTTTCCTCTTTGCAGGTATGACGGCGGAAATAACGGAAGGTTTGGGTAAGACAAACCCGGGGAATTGGTCTGCAGATATTATTTCGATGTCCTGATCTATCTGAGCCAATGCGATCGCCAGGGCATGCTCTTCATCGAACGAGGTCTCTGCTCGCCCCGGTGTGACAAAAAGGGAACCAGAAACATCCGGTAGCACTGGAAGTTCCGTTGATAGCAGCATCTTGACTTTCTCGTCAACCCCAACTGACGTCATTGCTGCTCCTCGATCTTCACTGTTGGAAGGCTCCGTATTCGCGGGTATGCCCGAGAGAAAACTAGGGATGTCGGGCAGCGGCGGCAGTGCCTCTGGGGAAAACCGTTTGACATCCTCGTTCACTGAATCCAATGCCGTCGCAAGAGCGTGATCTTCGTCAAGTTGCGCGAGTACTGCAACATACATCTCTGCCCCTCCGAGCTTAGGCCTGAGCTTCCGGATTAAGTATTGGACCAGTGCCTCCCCGTAGTTGGTCAGCGGCTCAGAGAAAAGCGAGAACGGAGAATCAGTGCCCCCGAGCTGGGATGATGATTCGTCAAAGGAGGGGAGAAAATAAGTGGACAGAGAAGGGGTCGATGAAGTAGAGCTGGAAAACGAAGATCCTGGGTAGGATGAGAAGGGAGAACTGGGCATGCAGTGCAACGACGAGAGACATTCGATCTCGGCTTTCCGTTGTAGAAACAGCATATGTTGTAGTTCTTCCCTGTGTGTGAAGCTCAGTACTCTGTGCGGAAGTGGAAAACAACAAAGCTCCTGAGACACACCTCCATCGGGAGGGCAAATCAGGAGTCTCTCGAAGCATCTTGAAAGCCTGTTCTCTTCGTCAGAGGAATTACACGAGGGCATGATTGCCCGACCTTTCGGCAATCCGTGGGCTTCAAAGGAAGAAGCTGTTGCGGCTCGATTCCAAGCTCGGTCCATTCGGTACCAAATACGCCGATCCACTGTACACGTTCGCCGGCCTGGCCGTCGCAAGCCTTGACAAATTGATTTAGGATATCCAACCCGTATGGGTCGGCGTCGACAAGGACTGTAATAGGAACCCTACAGGGCATGAGCTTCTCAGAAACGAGAGAGCAAGAAGGGCGCACCAAGGAGGAAGGTCTTGAGCCAATCTCTTGAATAAATCTCTCGTCGCCAGATCGGGATAGCCTTTTCCCTGTAGCCCGTTCAAAAGGCTCGAATCAGGAGCAAAGATGAATACCCACGGTGATTATGAGTCCCTTCCCATCAGAAAAGGTATGGTCGGCAAAGGACTTCGCCAGCAGTGTCTGGAAAACGGCCTGGAGAAGATCTTGAGAGATTTCCCATGAACTCGTGTGTAAGTCCTCACCTCCTTCTCGACCACCACTACAAAGGAAATGTCATCCCGTACATCTATTCTTTCAATGTCCTCTTCGACCGGTATAGTTTGTCCCTTTACCAATGTCAGAGAAACTAGCTCCCATGAAAGAAGCCGAGAACCACACCCTCGTTGCAGAAGCTGTGATCTCTTCTCCGCTCTTCAATAGTAACGTGATTGCAGAGCCGGCGAACATCCCACGCGGTGAGGCGCGCTGTGGCAGGTCAAAGACAGGGACTGAACAACAATGATAGACTGACAATGTTCAGAGCGCCTCGCTTCTCACCTAGCAATTCGGAGAGAAGATCAATGAGCTGCATCACCCGATCAGTGCATAACCGAAACATAAGTTGATACTTCTTACCTTGTCAGAAACCCCCTGATTGTCAAAAAGGGAAGGATCTCGATAGAATACATCTCTGAGGGTAAAGACGTCAGCACCCATACTATCATCTTTATCCGGGGTCCTTGCCTTTTTGTCACTGGCGTCTTGGTCAGTATTGCTTCTTGAGAAATTTGGATAATCTTAATGAGGCGAGCTGGAAATGTGTGAGTCAAAATAGAAAGAAAGCAAGTTGATGGTGTACAAAGGGTTTTACAAGATACTCTTGTTGATGCGAGGAATTTCTTCAAGGTGATAATGGTCTTGCGAGTCACTCTGCAGCGATGTCAACTTGATCGCCTCAAGCACAGGCTTAAAAGTGTACTCACTTGAATTTCTTTGAGCTTGTGACTCCGTTCAGAACTTTCAGAAGGTCGGCTGGAAGGCTGTCTCCTTGAGAAGAGTCTCCTGCCGTGTCTCGAAACGGTCCGTCAGCGCGTTCGACGTCTTCCATGGTAGCAAGCTTTTGACGCAGTTTCGTCAGCAGATCACTGAGTTTATTGAAAACTCTGTCTACAATCAGGTTTTGTCACGCGCATATATGCATTACTCACGAGTGTTCAGAGTCTTCCGGCGCATACATCTGGCTTTGTGACTGATCTATCTGGCTGTCTTGACTACGCGAGTAGGTCGGCATTGACGAGGCGGTACTAGTAGGCATGTCATCTTCAGAGGAGTCGGACATCGGCTCAGACATCGGCAAAGACGCGGGAGACGAGTAACATTCGGCGATGGCCTTTTGGAAGGCGCATATATCTTCATCTAGATTGTCGTCTTGGGAATCATCCGAGTCGAGCTTCTGCGGTTCGGCCCAGACCTGTTGGGAGTCGCCAACCGCAAGGATGCCGTCGTCCTCCAGATCATCAGAAAAGAAATAATCGGTAAAGGCCATTGTAGCAAGCTTGGGAGCGGGAAGGAACAAGTAGCGCGACGTGAAGCAGTTCCAGTTGATGCCGCCCTTTTCATGTCAGTCACGGGACTGATTTCTTTCGGTCACGTGTTTGCTTCCACAGCCGGTTGGGCCACAGGATTGGGTAACACATAAATGGTCGCCGTGCACCCTCTTGCCGTTGTCACATTCTTTATATATATAGACGGGCGAAATCTTTGTCCCGCTCTTTTCCACAGACGATCATCAGCTGCCAAACAAACGAGAGGATAGCAATGGCGGCACCAGCAACAGCATCAAAGACAGTCCAGATCTACCAGCCGTCAGGCAAAGACGGCGTACCAAGCCATCCAAGCTTGAGCAAAGCCGAGTTCCCCATCGACGCCTTCCAAGGCAAATGGTTCGTGATCCAATCGACTCTAGGGATCTGGAAGGTACGCCTGACATTCTTTGCTGGCAGGGAGATGGTCGTATTGAGCAGAAACGTAGACGCGGAAAGACGTCACTATCACCTACACGCCTCATACGCCACCGCCCAACTTGGCGTATAACGACCACGTGCAGTATCGGTCTACTTCCTCGCCGTCGAGCAAACCACTCTGCTCCATTGTCGGTATCTCCACGCTCCTTCCTACTGCTGCTCAGAGCTCGACCGATACGCAACCACACCAGGAGCATGGCGCACACTTCAAGTGGCGCGGATCTGGCTGGCTGAGGATCGCGAGCTCTAAATGGCAGGTCTTGGGATACGACCTACAAGAGGGCTGGGTGGTAACCTTCTTCGAGAAGACGCTGTTCACGCCTGCGGGGCTGGACGTGTATGCCAGGCAGCCGGGTACGTTGAGCAGCGAGAGGCTGTCAGAAATTGTCAAAGCGACGCAGTCGCTAGGCGGAGAAGCGGGCAAGTTAGCAGAGGGATTCTTCGAGGTTACCCATGGTGTATGAACTGGTCGAGCATGATCTGAATTCTCTGTACACCCTGAACACTCCGATGTATGGATTGTATTGTACACTTCCTCCGAATAACCATTACGTGTCTAAAGGGAATCAGCCATCCGCGGGGTACGTGTCCACCCATCGGGACCACTGGTCATAAGTATGCCACCCAATGGGCGCAGGACGAAGCGGGAACAAGAGTAGAAGCTGCAAACCTCAAAAGGCGAGAAACACAGCAGATCAAAGTGCGTCAGCAGAAAGGGTAAAGATGGGTAGAAAAGAAAGCGTAAGCGTGTAGGTCATACAACATTATCCCACAAAGGGGAGTCGAATGCAAGAAAGATCCGAGCGATCCATGAAATACTCTGCAAAGGATAACTGAAAGAGGAAATGAAAGAAATGAAAGAAAGGTCGTGTCGTTACTGATAAATAACCCAATCAATTGAAAGGGAAGAAAGCGCCGCGCTTCGGCTCTCCATCGCTCTCCTTCTCCCTCGTCCTGACAAACCTCCGCACACCCTTAGCCTCCCCATCCGTCTTGGCCCCATCCCGGTCCTCGATATTCCTAATCCGATCGCGTACAGCGCCTTTCCTGAGCACAGCCGGACGTGGCATAGACAGCTTGGTGGGAGAAGTCACACTCCCCGGCGATCCCAGCGCTTCGTTACCTGGCAGAGGAGGGACAGGCGGCACCCCCGCGTCTGAAAGGACACGCGAGCCCCAGTCCTCGGTCGGCCTCAGCTTGCTCATGATGCTCACTCTCGGAGGGGGACCATCGCGTTTGACCTTTCCAGAGATCTCACTCCCATTCGTATTCGTATTCGTATTCGCCAACGGCCGCGGCCTGCTGGCCCCAAACAAGTCTCCAAAGAACCCGGCTTTCTTCTGCGCGCTCGAAGGACTCACAGAATCATCAACACTAGGCGTCCTGTCGAAAGGGATCTGGAGGGGTGTGTCGGGAAGCTCCAGGGCCAGCTGCGGAGGGGGTGAAGGGGTCTGAGGACGATTCTCCTTCTCTTCCTCCGGTACGGCCCCCTGTGGGTGAAGAGAAAGCGCCTCGGGCTTAGCGGGTATCACAGGCGCAGGCGCGACTCCAGAGATGGGCAGCAACATTGCTTGCTGCTGGACGCTAGCTCTCCTCCGGTGACCAGGAGCAGCAGCAAGCACATTCGGGATCTTGCTCGTCATCAGTCGAGGCTGGACAGAGTTGCGCCTGCTCGAAGGAGCAGGCTGCGTCGTAGGCGGAAGGGAATGGTCGCGCTTCGGCACTGCTGTTTCATGGTTTGCGCCGTTCGGGCTCATGCTCATAGGACTGGTGGTGATGTTCGCCGGTGGGGTAGCAGGTGCGTGATACGATTGCGAACTCGCGGTCGTCCGTACGCTGCCGACCGTCTCTCGGCGTTTCTTCTTCACCTCCCTTTCTCTTTCCCTATCCCTCTCTGCGCTCGGCATAGCCGCAAGCTCTCTCGCCCCACTGGCCTCTTCCTGGAATCCGAAGACCAGGTCGTCCTCCTCTACGAAGATCTTAACCAAGCTGCTCGCGATGCCCACACTAGGACAAATGACCAGGAGCAAGTTAGTCAAGCTCATGCGGGTGGTCTCCCGCTTCCGGGCGAGGAACTTGAGCAGCCTGCTAAGTTCGCGGAGGAGGATACGGTTCTCGGGCGGGAGCTGGCGGACTAGGTGGGCAAGGTCTAGCAACAGCTGGGGGGAAGTGGTGAGCGGGGTGGAGGAGGCGTGGCCGAACGCGCTGAGTCCTTCGGAGGAAGGGACGTGTTCCGAAGTATGGGGGAGGAGGGCTTCGTCGAACCGTTTAGCCAAGTAGTGGGTTAGCAGTGGCTCCGGCACTATGCAATCCTATCAGCCCCCGCCCCAATAGCCAAGAAAAAGGACTCACATTCCCTAAAATACGCCTTGAACACCCCAGCAACCGCGTGCGGGTCCAGGTCCGCCGGGCCCACAGCACGCAGATCATAGTCCGCGCCTCTATCAAACTCCTCCCGGAGGGTAGCAACATGGCTCGGCATTCCGGAAATCCGGAATATGCCCTCTTCTTCCGGTCCCCAGCGCTCGAGGTGTTCCAAGCAGCGTAAGATGAGCGCGGGGAGCCAGCGGGAACGGTCTTCTGCTCCTGTATCTTTGGAGAGGACGGTGAGGGAGACGATCCTCGTTCTGCGGACTGCTTCTCCCAGCTTGACCCCGAATACTTGGCCTGGTCTTCCACTCGGGCTCCGTACCGGCCGGGGCATGATAGGAAGATGCGCATCCCCTCCTGTGGTAGGGATGGCCCAGGGGCCAGCAACGTTCGAGTTGCTGCCTACTCGGGGAACAGGGCGTGCCATAGGCAAAGGCATGTTCTGAGAAATAGACTCCATGCGCCGCTGGCTCTGACCGAACAAGCCTTGTACTCGTCCCCATCCTGCGCGTAGGGCTTCTCGGCCTCTGTCCGGACCTGCGTTCCCTGTTGTAGGACTGGTGGGGTATGGACCGGAGATCGGAACTGGTCCGCGGCGGGTTGGGCTAGATATGGCGTGTGCCTGGGGGTGCCTGGGTGGGGGTAGTAGTTGCTGGACTTGCTGCTCCGGGTGCGCCATATAATTTCCAGGTCCTGTAGTCTGGACAGCCAATGGCCGCTTGAGCGCTGGAGGAGGCGCCGCTCTCTCCGGCCTGGGAGGGAGGACAGGTGCGGATATCCCCTGTGCCGAGATGGAAGCAGCGGTGTTCCCGTTGCTGGAATTTGTAGCCCAGCCAAAGACTCGGCTAGCTAACTTTGCTTTGGGCTTGGACTCGTTGGCTGCGGATGCTCCTGAGGAAGCGGATGAAGCGCTCGCGTCTCTCTTAAGGACGTTCTTGCCTGCTGGTTGGGCTCCATTAGGTGCTGAGGGACGCAAGGGGAAGGTAGGATTGTGGTGCGGTGGTGTAGATGGTGGGGAGACGCTGTTTCCTGTTGCTGTGGTAAGAACGCGGGCAGGGGAAGGGAGGGCGGTGAGTGAGCGTCGGCGCTGGACTGGGGGAAGGGATGTCGGAGGCCCAGCCGGCTGCTGCTGCCGTGGTGGTGACGGGCTCGAGGGAGCAAGAGTCAAGGATCTGTCACGCGCCGGGAGGACAGACGAACTAGACGAGCTCTGCTGGGTAGAGACCGGTTGTGGGTGTGGAACCACAGCGTCGGCAGTCGAAGGCCTGGCAGGGAGTGGCGGCACCAGAGGAATAGCCTTCCTCGATGTACCCCTCATTGTGCTTGGTTTGGGGGGTGGTACAGGGCCCGGAATCGGTGGCTGGGGTTGAGCATGGGCATGGGCATGAGCATGCGAGTGCTGAGACGACCGACGTCCGCTGCTCGTACTCCCCGAATGTGTGCTCACGCTATCCTTTTCCCTCGCAGGCGCATTACCGGCACCAGGAGGTCGGATAGTCATCCCCGACCCAGTGCTGAACCGCTTGTCTTCTCCTACCCCCGGAACGCTAAGCAGACTCCCGGATGCACTCTTGCTCCCCTGCACTTGCTTGCTGGTGGCGATATAGGACTCGTACTCTGACTTGCCTGAGCCGTGTGTGGAATGGCCCTTGACATGCCCCAAGTCTGAAGTGTCTGGATCTGCGCTAGATACACTTGAAGTGTCGAGTGAAGGAGGAAGGAGGGCGTCGAGGGAGTCGCGAGAGAGGGATGAGGAGGAGGAGATGGACATGGAGGAGGAGGAGGAGAGAAGTGGTGAGAGAAAGGGCCCGCTCTGCTCTGTTCTAGTGAAATGGGCCAAGGGAATGGAAAAGGATGATGTAAGCACTGCCACAGTACTGCGGGCGTACTTTAGAGTTTTGCGGTGTTTATTGATTTCAGATTCAATTTATACTTTTTATATTTCTCACCATTGTACGTTGACCTATTATTACTATCCTCCACATCATTTACAAATGGAATGATAATCATCTACACCATCAGCACAGATACCTTTCATCAGCTTACAATCACAATCCACAAAGGAATAATTTGACGGCAACCACGCCGATCCCGCAAGTACTGAGCAGAACGCCGATACTTTCTTCCCTCACCGCAAAGGAGTGAGGCTTCTTCTCTTTTCTGTACAGCTACGAGCGCCAATTGCAATACCATATGCCACGACAGCACGACGACACGACAAGTGACAGCATACAAGCATACAGCTAGCATCGCACCACCTCCTGCTTACAACCAACCCCACACAGTTCGCCGTCCACCCTCCATATATACAGGGGACCACGTGCACACTCAACGTGTTGCAGGCTGACGGTGACCAAGCCGTCCCTTGCCTCAGGGCGGCCCTGGTAACTGCCCGGTAGGCACAGGACCTTGATACGGCCGATCATTCCCCCTTAACCCCCGATTCTGCAAAACTGGTCTGTCCATGCCCGAGCCGAAAAGAAACTTCGAAAACTGGGAATACATTCATAGTGACGTACGGTTTGACTACAACTAGCTATACTTTGTTCTGTTGCACAACCAGTAAAACAGAAAGCCAGAAATTACACGTCCTCGTTATACATCCAGCAGCAGTTAGTATTAGCACAATCCCTCCTCAATCAGTCATCGGGTCAATCAGTCCTTAAACGTGCCCAACTCCATCTGCTGCAAAACATGGTCAATCTTCGCCTTATGAATCCTATGATGTTCCTGCCATCCTTTCCACGGATGATGCGCATTCTCGGGGAGCATCGCGAACGACTGGAAGATCTGGTCGCTCGTTCCCGCAGGCTTGCCCAGCATAAGTCGCGCAAGCTTGATGTCGTCTTCCCTGTCGTACCGGCGGCGCTTGGTTGCGGGCTCATCTGGTCCAGCTTGGGGGAGCGTGGGGGGCCGGTCAGTGTCGAACTCGTGTTTGTGGCGACGCCAGTATTTCATCCACGAGGCGCGGGAATGATGTGGTGCCTATACGAGGCGTTAGGACTTCACTTTTCTGAAGGTGAGTACGCACCTTCAGAGCGATATCCCTCCAGACTTGGACCATATCCTGTCCCTGCGCATACTGCAGGTACCTAAGGAGATACCTCACGTCCTCCTCGGTAAAAGCGACGCCTTTCCCCGTGGTAGAGCGATAGAGCGTCTTCGGCGGGGTGGGACTCCGATCGCGTGACTGTTCCAGATACCCCGATGCAGCAGGGGCCTGGACCGTGCGGCCCCTGCCCGGCGCAAGGGGGGAAAGGATAGGCGTAGGCCCAAGTATTGCGTTCCTCACTTCCTCATCTTCGTCATCATCCTGCTCCTCGCCGTCCCGCTCCAGCCCGCTCTCCCCGCTCTCCTCCCCGTCCACGTCAGGCTCCACACTAGCCTTAAACACGCTCATATCGTACGCGCCGAGCTTGATCTGATGCTTGTTGCAGAACCTCCGCCAGCTGTAGAACGTATGGTGCGGCGCGCGGATAGCAAGACGCTCGCAGATCTCGCGCAGTGAGAGGATGAGCCCCTGCTGCTGGCAGTAATCGATGTACTTCTTCAGGTAGAGGATATCCTCGCTCGTGAAGAGGTTGCCTCCAAATGTCGATTTCATGATACGCGTTGGCGGAGTGGGGGAGCGCGCAAGAGGCTTGCGGAACGTGCGCGAAGCACCCGATTGTGCGATAGACTGGCGCGAAGTCGACGTCCGGCTCGCGCGGTGTATCGACCTTCCACGCTCGACTTCAGCTGCAGCATCATGCTCCGCAGCGTCAGACGGAGGCGTGGTGAACGGCTGACCAACATATGCCTCTTCAGGCGGATAAGCAGGTGGAGGCGGCGGAGGTGCCTGAAACTGCCCAATAGTTAGCTCACGTCTTGTGGAAGGTCGAACGCATACATGAGGATAATACGGATTTTCATCCCAGTGCCCAGGCGCAGGATAGTGAAAGGCATACCCCGGGGGTGGTGGAGCGGAAAACGTCTCCCAAGGAGGCCTGAGCGTCGCCGGCTGCATCTGTGGGGGCGGGGCTATAGCACCAGGCGGGTAGCCCGGCATGCGCTGCATAGGCGGGGGCGCCATACCCGGGGGAGGCAGGTTCTGCGGGAGCTGCCAGCTGCCGAGAGGCTGCTGGGTTGCGATCTGGGAGACAGTGAGAGGGTAGACGTTTGGTGGGAGAGAGGGAGAGGGCGCTTGTGGGAGAGGGGGGGGAGGCACTGCGGGCACCTCGGGCTCGGACTGCCGAGGCCGTTTCTTTCCCCTTGGGGGCACTGTCACTGGTGTATCGATAGGCTCCATAGGGCGCGATACGCTGGAGAGGATGTTGGCCGCCGTCTGAGGGCGCTCGTTGCTGCAGGGATGTGAGTCACGAGTGGGCATATATGCGCATATACGTACCTATCATACCCATCCAGCCTGAAGCCCGCCCAATCGCTCTTGAACGTCAGTAGCTCGCCCTTGCGTATGCACTCGGTGATCCAGTTGCTGGCAAGGACGACCTTGCCCTTCTTACCCGCATACTGACGGGCGAGGTTCTTGCCCGAGTTGCTGAGAGGATTGACGATGATGTAGTTGACGTTGCTGTACCCGGACGACACCTGACCGCCGTGTTTCTACAGACCGTCAGTCTCGCGGGGGTTGGTTGGAGGGTGGCTGGATGCAAACGTACCATGATGAGATCGATGAGCTTGGGCGCGTCTGACACGTCGCGCTCAACGAACATCGGAAGAGGTCCGCCGAGCATAGGGTCAACGAAGATGTCAGCATCACATTCCTTCGAGAGAGTCTTTCCTCCATCGGCGACGACAGTGGCGGAGGTGTTGCCGATGTTGTCGTCGACGTTGTGGTGGATGGCTGCAGACTTCCTGTGTGTGACTTTTGGCATGTGGGGAACGGGCCGGTGTGTCGGGTCCCCCGGGGGCGTGATGCTGGGGTGTTTGGGGGGATAAACGAGTTACGGGGGTTTCGAGTGTGTTGTGAGGGATGAGTTGCAGTCTTAGGGGGTCGAGTAAACGGGGGACACAACCACACACTGCTCACTCACTCACTTTGTGAAGAACGGATCTATTCAAAGTGGCGTAAATTAGTCAGCATGGATTGATCCCGCTACAACTGAATCAACAAAGGTAACTTGCTTTCCTCTTTAGTGCAATCACAGAATACGCTTCCAACGGAAAATACCCTGATGACTTAATTTCATGTCTTAGCGCTCAACAAGAAACGCCCACAAGAGGGGAATGTCCACCGTGACCGTGCCCGACATAACTACAATCTAACAATGGCCGACCACCCGGAAATGGAATCGGCCCGAAATCGAGTCACCGGACACTCCCAGGTCGTATTCGAACTCCAATTCCCTCAACGGACAGCCACGGCAGAACTTATAATTATCTCCCTGACAAATGAATAAGCATATGAATCCAACTAGGTGGTTCCTTTCTGCCAGCACCATTCAAGTTCTGCCTAGCGAGAGCGCCGAGTCGGGCGACGGGCGAGTTGCCCTGTGTGCGGATAGCGGGATGTGCGAGAAGTACATGTGTTGATGATGAACAAGTGAGCGGGAGTCACGAGGTGTACAACCATTCTCGTTTCTACATGCAATATTCTCCCCATCAAAGGGGTCGAATGACGTCGTCCATTCTTCGTACACACACGTGGATCGGTCAGCCGGACGATGGCCGTGCTTCTCTTGTCCCCCTCTATCTCTTCCTCTCCTCCCTCATCCTCCAACGACCACCGTCTCCCTCACCTAACTTCTCCTCTCTCCTCTCCGTCCATCACATTGGCTAGCCGAATTCATAACACTCCCCTTGTAGTACCTGCTCCACAACGACAGCGACATCTTCCAACAGACCATGCACTCAATCAAAGGTATTATCCGCCGGAAGACCCGAGCCGATCAGATCAGAATTTCCGGAGAGCGCTGATGGCCGGGTGGGGGTGGCATGGGAGGCGGAAGGTGAAGGTGAGGTGCGGTGATGGACAGTGAGGACCAGGGAGCGCTGAAAGGAAATAATGCACTGCCGGTTCGTGGGATGGGTCACCTCCTACCCATCCCATCCCAGTCAGCCGTAACTCTCCATCATCGGCCTCCCCCCGCCGTGCAGCCTAATCTCTCCTTAATGAGCTACCATATCGAGCTGTCTATCCAATGCCCTCGCTTAGCGATGACAATATTGCCAGATGGACCGAGAAGGTACAGGATGATTGATGCCCTCGATGGGAGAAAGGATGAATGATGGCGACAACACGTAGACGCACGGTAATATAAATCTGTACCACTTATCCTCACCTTGTGCCCTCTTTCTCTGCTTTCACTCGTGTGATCCTCCTCGGTGGCACCGTCGTCATCGCCGTCGCCATCTCCATCGCACGCCGGCGCGTGCCTGGGTGTCACCCTTCCTCCTGTACAATACACTAAAAGCACCAGACAGCGCTGGCCGCCCCGCTCTCCACGTCGAGCGCCCGCGGCTCCCTCCCAAGCCCATCCACAGCAATAGGGATGCACAGTCCCACCGCCCGCCGCTCCTCCATCTTCAACATACTGGAAGATGCTGGTCCTCCCTCTACGCGTCCCCCGCTGCCCCTCCCCATGAGAGGGACGGTGCCGCGGACGATCCACGCGGGGCCCAGTGCCCACCAAAATGGGCACCATCAGCCTCAGCCCCCTCCTCTCCGGGTAGAGGGACAGCATCACGGCACGCGTACGAACCCCATCCGCGTGCCCTCTGGCCCTTCCTCCCCCTCCTCCCGGGCACACTCTCACTCCCTCTCCCAAAGTTCCCACACCCTCACTCCCCAACCTCCAGCCGTACACCCAGCCCTCCAGCCCTTCTCCCCTGACCTGCTCCCTCCAAACCCGTTCAACTCCCCCCGCCGGCGAGCGAAGAAGACGGCGGAAAAGCGCGCGTTACACAACGAGATCGAGCGCAGGAGACGGTGTAACCTCAACGAGAGTGTCTTGGTGCGTCTGTCCTTTTCCAGAGAGGGAGGATACTGACGTGCCGTGGGATTGGGCGCAAGACACTAGGCCGCCTTATCCCTTCACTGCAGAGTATCCACCGGCCGTCGCAGAATCAGATCCTTACTTCCACTCTCGCCTATGTGCAGCAACAACAGCGAGATCAGGCGATCGTGGCGCACGAGCTGGGGTTGCTGTATCGGGAAGCACAAGGGCTGAGGGAGGAGGTGAACGGCTGGCGGGAGCGTGCTGGTCGGGAGCTGATCGAGCAGCCGGAGAGAAGCGAGGATTTCCAGCGACTTGTGCGCCCTGTTCGGGGGTCTCGGGCGTCGCCGCCCGGCTTGGAAGAGGAGGTGTCTAGCGAGGAGGGGTCGAGCGAGGAGTACCGGCTGAGTGGGGGGAGTAACCGGAGTTGACGGGCGGTGCAAGTCATGCGTGTGTGAGGTCATCTGGAGAGACCTGGGCGTCTGCCGGGTAGTACCAGGGAGATTGATGAGCAGGGGGAGATCTGGATATCCGCTGATGAGATAGCGTCGCGCTGATCTAGAGTCGCGCTTAGATGGGACTTGGGAAACTTATACTCGTGCCTTCCAACGATCATTCCTTCACGAAAGTTACCAACGACAATATTAACATCGACATCGACATCGACATCCCTGGGCGCATAACGCGGTACGCGCTCAGCAAGAGTGAGAGTCTCGAGGACGCATTTGGAAGCTTGCCACTGGGACATGCCGCGCTTTCCTAAGCTGACACGTTCCATTTCGGGTCGTGGACCGACCATATCCGTGCGCGCAGTACACCGCAGCAATAAAGAATCCAGTCAGTAGGGGCGTTTTCGCGCCTCGGGCAGAGTCACTTTGGTCCCCATGTGCTCGCATGCACTGCAGGAGAGTGGCACTTGCCAAACAGAGACTTTCATCGGGGAGGGGGGTGACCCCTCCCGTGAAAACCAATTCGAGTCTCCAGATCAATATGAACATTGATGTTTTCTGACTGTCGGCTGTGCTCGAAGACCTAACGTAGAGGAAGGAGAGAGCATCAGACGGCCTCTGGACGGCGAGTCGGGCAGCCGCAGGATTCCCGACGAAAGCCGGCTATACGAAGCCTCCCGAAGAGGGGCGAGTAGAGCCTGGAATGAGTGAATATGATGCTGGACTGTGCTTCGGTTGGAGGCGGGCAGGGAAATCGTTCGTCGTCATCGAGCATCTGCTGGAGAACCGGCAAGCAGTGACTGAGTTCATCCTAGCGCGAGCCAGCATCCAGAACATTCCAGCGCAAGCCTCCTAGCGTAGTAAGAACATGTCAGAGCTTGGTTGACAGTCGTGGATGACCAGATGAAAGCGTTCAGTTACCACGGTAACGGAAGAGACTACGGACGCATGGTTAGCATTGTCTGTCCGAGGCAGGCGGAGCAATGTGATTGTTGCAATGATACTTACAATGGACCCTACACTTCCATCTTTTTTCTGTCCTGTACTCAGACGTCCGCGGAGACCGATCCGCGGCATGAACGACCTTACGATCGACGGAGCACGAAGATTTGTTGTCCTCGTGTTGTTCATGCTGCATTGCAGAGCGGTCAGGCTGGACCGACTATCTTCATCTAGCCTTGACAAGGTCTTGATCGCGGTCGCTTGTGGATCTGATCGAGTGTCATCTCGCTGACTGGTTGCGAACACTGCTGGGCTAGGCCGAGGCATATATGCCTTCTGGCGGTGCATAGCAAATCATTGGTTCAAGGTTTGGTGGACGATGGACGTGCCTTGTGGAGAGCTCATGGAACGTAGAGGTGGTAACTTGATCGGCGGCACACGGTCTGATCTGGCTAGGCTTCACCGTCTAATTTCCTTGGTGGCGGCTCCATCGGAGTTTGACTTCATGCCTGTCCTCGAGCTTGCGTTCATGCGTTTATGCGCTCCTACCAAACTCGGCGAAACGATCCAATCATACAAGCTTCCTCAGTTCTGAGAGCTAATTGTCGTCAAATCCTTACTTGGTTATGGAATCTACCTTGCTAACCCGCTGGACACCCCGCAGAGAACTCGTTGGTGCTTGGTCTGCTGGCCGTGTTGACGCCATCGAGAAACTGTTAGAACGAACCGCTCTCGGTGGCTTCTTTAACGTATACCGGCCCGATATCGAACATTCCACCGGCCTCATACCTCTGGAACTCTGTTCAGCCTTCTTCTGGACACACTCCTGACCATCGGCGGTCGACAAGTTCTGAGACCCGCCAAATCATGGAAATATAGACAACCCTCGTTGATTGCCGTAACTGTCTAGGGTTTCCCTGACTTCGCAAGGAAGGCGTTGTCTTACGTTGAAAGTGAGTGAAAACGCGGAGTAACATTGCTACCATTGTATGTCTTGTTGTGTTATACGAGACTGATCGGATTCTCCATAGGGAATGTATTGTATGATACCCAACCAGCAGTTGATTTGGCTGCTTTACAACAAGTACCTCACACGTGCCCTATACAATCTTCTCAGCGGTGACGGCATTCAACACAGCCCTTGTTTTATATCAAAGTATTGATATGCATACGGTAACAATGCCTTCAGTCTTATCAACCCATACCATCTCGGTAAAATCAATAACGCCGCTCCGTGGTCGCGACTTCCCGAAGCACTCTCCAACTCCCGGACCCGTCCGGGACGAGAACTCTATTTCCCACGGACCGCGACGAAGTCCTCGAACATCTTCCTCGTCCAGCGTACTCTGGAACGTCGCTGTGTCACAGAAAGTCCAAGGAATGCTCGGAATGCGCAATATTGGGACTCGCCATCTGCCTCAGATAGGCACGCCATACTGTCAGGGGATTGTCTTGCCTTGGACTGGAGGGGGTATGATGCACCTACCCTGAGATTTGCCGTCCGCGTGGTGCACCGTTCACAACAAACAACGTTTGTCTCGAGCCTCATGATAGGCGTCCACCCTCGTCATTCCGCCATCTGGATGTGGAACGCACCTGCGGCGTATCATAGCGGAAACGAAACTAATACACGTCAAGCACACAAGTGTTCGATAGACCGCACACGTCGGCGGATTGGAGCACGGTCTCACTTCGGTCGAAACGCAAAAGAAGGGGACGACGTTCCAGGGAGAGGCGTCGCCCCCACCATGGTCGTTCTAGAACGCACGGGAGGGAAGAACATAGAAGCGAGTATGCTTCTCAGGACCCCGAAAGCCGTTGGTGGGATACGGGGTTGCAAGGATTTTCGACGTGGCGACGGGGTGCGAAATCCCAAGCGCCGCTTGAATGGGTGATCGATTTTGACTTTGTATGGTACCTGTTGTCCATTGAGTCTCGAGTGATGGGAATCTATAGGGCACACCGGTTGACAAATGACTTCTAAACAGAATGTCGTAACCCCCGCCTCTGTACCTCGATCGCCATATCGTCCTCTCACAGAGCTGTTGCACAATCTCCACCTGCTACTGTGACTCGAGAAAGAAATCGTCCCTGCCGGCCTCACGACCGGTCCGCGCGGGCGCACCGTCCCCTCCGATGTCACCTCCAGTAACGGCAGCTCGGCAGCATTCCAGCCGACAAAAGTTGTCTCAGGGACGTGATCTGAGCCTCAGTCTATCATATCACGACCCTATGCCGCACAAACACGAACAGAGGATGAACACCTAGGTCGAGCCCTGTCGGGAGCAGACCTGTAACGGGGGTGCGGTGCAGCCCCGTTGCGGAAATGCCTCCAGGGCCTCGGACCCCTGCATCCAGCCCATCCAGCCAAAATTGGACGAATTTAGCTAGAGTAGCTAGACCTAACATGTGGCCACCATGTCTTGGTCATGGCCACATGTACAGCCAGACCCAAGCAAGTGAGAGCCCACTAGTATCCTTTTTAACACACACCATGCCCAGTGACAGCCCTGAGTACCATTATGCTCCCCTCAAATGTGCAATATTCACTAGAAGCACCTTGTTTGAGGTCCACCCCTGTGGTTTCTCATATGCTGTTATTCCAAATTCTATGAGGCCTGAAGTGAAGGCTAAAAGGCATTGGGCTCACCAGTACATGATGTCTTGCCTGGAGCTTGATTTGCCCACTAATTTGACATAGACATCTTCCCCAGCTGCACAAATACCAGTGTGGCTACCAGACTGAGAAGTGTGCTCTCCTGAAAGCTTGAAAGGCACAATCACTCAATTGCTTGAAGAAGTACAAGCAGAAACTCGCAGATGAGAGGGCACTTGGTGATGGGGCGGAGGCGCTGCTGATGCTGGTGTTAGGGCAACACAGGCTGACTAAGTCTGCTCACCTAAGAGTGCCAAGAGTCTAAGCAGGCAACAAGGAAGTGGAGTAGACCTGATGACTAAGACCTATCTACAGTATAGGTACCTGTGGATGATCCTAAGAGACCAAGTCTGAAGAGACAGTCCCCAGGCAGAGTAGGCCTTATATTTATACCTCTGTGGTGGAACCTGCTAGAACATCTTGCTTACTCAGCCTAGTCAGGTGATCAGGTCATATGAGGTCATGCACAGCCATGCACAGCAGGTCACCTGACCATCCAATCCTTCCAGCAGGTTCCAGCACATGCCAAGATATACCAGCTACTTCCATGTCATAAAGGCTTAGTCATGTCTCTTGACCAAGCAATGAGCTGGTGCCCTGACATTGGCCCATTGTCATAACACCCTCCTAGCCAAAGCTGCATGCTTCCACCAAGAACACAATCACCCATCATAAGCTTCATTAGTAGTTAATGACTAGTACTAAACATCTAGTAAGATAAGTACTCACCAGATTGAGAACTTGAGGGGTGAACTCCCCATACCATGCAATCCTGTGGAGGCATCCATTGATGCCCACTTGCCACAGGTGGACATCATGGCCCAGGAGGTTGTAACCATCATGAGTCACACCAGTGATAGTGCGAGGAGCCTCAGAGATGCACTGCTGGATAGTGTTCCAAGCACCTGCA